CATAATATTATAATAATATATTATGTTTATGTAGGTATATTATATTAATGTCTTATACTAAAAAAGTCAAATAGTCGCATTTACAAATATTTTTTAAAACATGGGAAGTATCTAGTTACTAATGTCGAGTTGCATAAACAATCATTTGACATTTAATGATTCAATAGTCAGCTAATGGTCCCCTAAATATGATTATTACTTATTAGTGACACGTGGCTAGTTCAATACACTTAGTAAATCACTAAATTAATTAATATTTCATGCGACCCGGCACAAGAAATACATTTCGGGGAAATAAGTTATTAAGATAGGCCAAACAAGCCAACTGGCTAATGAAGAAAATGTGCCGAGACCGCAAAATTATAATTTGACCATTGTTATAAATCGCCAACGCTTCGGCGTGTTTGGGGTGTACGTGTATTGCGTATAATACTTAATACAATCTGAAAACGATTAACATCGTAGATCAAGAATAATTGAAGGAAATAGTGAAGTCATATACTCATATATAGTAATCGGCTATTATAAGAGTTTTTTATATTATAAAGTTTTATAGATTTTCAAATGAAAGTACTAGGTGGAAGTATATTATTGTTCCTATGAAAAGTGAGTAGGTATACAAATAGTTAACCCGTTCCCGGTTTCAAAAGGAAAAAAAAGGTATACAATAATTAATACATGGGTTGTCCTACACTGCACGAATATTAGGTAAGTATAAATAAAATTTATTAAATTGAAAATTTACAAATTATCTTGCAGTTAAAAATGTATAAAACGTTCAAATTTTATAGCTAACGATTGAACATTTAATATAAGGTTCCATATAAGTAGTTAATTCTGTAACCAATTTTGGTTCAATTATCTAAAAAATGTATAAACACAGTTTTTTTTTGTAAAGTTATTAAGTTCAAATTTGGCCTAATTACATATGAAATAAACAAAAATAACGATTTTAGTTATATTGTTGTAATTTAAAAATATTATTCATGGTTAGATGAAATTTCTAAAGTATATTATTATATAAAAATATGATAATATGCAAATATTATTAATTCAACCCACCGGCTACCGTATTGATAGTAACAATATAATATAAAATATCCTATACGCCATCCATTACAGTGACTCACTTATTTCTAACTTACCTACTGTTTTTTGTTATTAATGTTCATTTCTATCTTATAAATTATTTTACTTAAGTTCTATACACATGTCACGCGTCGTATTTAATTAATAATATCATAAATTACAATTTTTACACTTGACAGATTTTATATTTCTTAAATTATAATTCTCAAGTATACATCGTATACTTTCAGTGCATTATATTGAGATAACTTAACTACATTTTTAGCCTTTTAGATGTTAAATAATTGCATTTTTTTCAAGGTGTTTTAATGTATTCAATCCACCACCCCAATAATTATACTTCGATGTATAATTTAATATTTATCATGGTTTAGTAAAGCTAGTATATAATAATTTTACCAAGTACAATAAGTATACATTTTTTCCTTTGTGAAACTTTTTGAATAAATTATGGGAATCTCGGTATAATTAATGAACTTGAAGAATGAGATAAAAAGTATTGATTTTATTATTTTTTTGATAATTCTATATATTTATATAACTTCTGGAAATAATTTCGTCTTTATACAGTGTGTTAAGGTTTTAGATTTTGAAATTTTAAGTTTTTAAAGATCGCAGAATAATTAATGATTTTTCTATATTCACAGTGCATCATACATTAGAATTATTCATACGATAAAGAGAACTTATAATATGTAGTAAAATCACAATCACATTTAAAATTTCTAATGTATTTTTTTTTACAGTTTTAAAAATATATATATTGTGTTGATACATTTATACATATAATATAGGTTTATTTCACTTTTTAGAGTATTTATACGTTAGAAATACCAATTAGTTTTTATAACTACGTAACTAAGTAAGAACTGAACAGTTAATTTGGGTTTTTACATTTTACTAAAGGTTAATAAAATACTAGTTGTAAATAATAAAAACGAATTTTTACCAACAACTTATTATGACACTTTTTTTGATACCTTATTATCGTAAGTACCAACTAGATTTTAGTTGTTGCTAGTAAATTATATAGTAATATATTATATAGTCGATTTTGGTAATTATTGCAATATCTTATATTATATAGAACCTAATATATATTATATCATGTACTTATCTCCTTACTACTAAATATTATATTATAATTATATTATTATATAGGTACCACGCAATTACCAGAATATCCAATTTATGGACCCTATTATTATTATTATTATTATAGGTAACATAGTCTATAGATTATAGATAGAATCCGATAAGTTAGATAAGTAGGTACATAATGTATTAAATATAAATACTTAAATTTAATTTAAAAAAAAAAATTTAAATAGACATAACAATGTTACAGTTGATACAATTTAAAGTTTATCATATTTTTACTTGCGAATATAGAATTAAATAAATTGTACGTATTGCTGTAATAGTTGTCACTGACCAGTCAAAACCAGTTATTGCATTCTTTTAGCAGTAAGGTGAGTAACAAATAACAATTAATGACGTGCTGATTAACTACCTATAGAGGTACATTTTGAATTAGGTACTGAATAATTTTTAGTTTTCATATACCTACTCATATTATTTATAACCTTCTAAATTAGGCATCACATTTGTTATGTGGGTTACAAATATTATTGATAAAAATACTCTTTGCTATTTGGCACCTATAATAGTGAATTAGACTTAGTGTTGCACGGTAATTGTATACAGTCACGTTTCGTTCCTGAATAGCATCGGCCGCGGGTCGGTGCCACTAGTTCCCGGATGGATGACCACTCGGGTTTTTAGTGACAAATCCTGGACACAAATAAGTTGTCTCACTTACTGTACGTCCCCCCACAGCAATACCACTACAAGCAGCTAATAGCCATAGTTGCCGGGGTTAAGTTCAATAACAAAAAAAAGACTTAATCCCAATATTTTATAGTGTCCTATATAATTATTATATTAGGTAGGTAATATAGACATATAGTATAGGTAGGTAGTATTGCAGTGCTATAACTTTAGGAACCTAGTTTTTCATGCTTTATTTTTCTTGCTATTAATGTGCGAATTAATATAAATTTATTACGACTTTAGTCAAGTGGCTTTAATTTAGTTATGAGTATTTGAAGTTTACAAATAAGTTGAATCATTATAATATTTTAGTGTTCGTTAAGGTATCATACACATACCATCATTATATATGATATAAATTATAAGATATAACTTATAATTTTTTGAGTATCAAGCATGTAGTATTTGATGATCAGTCGATCAGTGAATTTACTACTCATAGCTAGCTGAACGGAAAATATCATACACGTAACATAGGAATTTTAGCAAAATTACTGTAAAAACATAATAATAATATATCTCACAAACTCCCTAAACTGTTCAATATAATGTATCCCCATAGTGTTAAGATCAATATGTAACTATTACAGGCCAATGACTTCAGATGTTGAAACCTTGTGAACCCCCCGAAAAATGTCATACACTATTTTATTGTCTAATGTACAGTAGAGGTATAAGGAAACTTTTTATTTTTTTTAATATTAGCAATACAATATCGAGTATCCACGAGTTCAATTTTTTCACTCATATTAGTTCCACTTTTTTGTGGTAAAGTCCACAAGGTCCAAGGGATATGGAGTAACGTATGTATGTACTCTATTATAGGCACTCTAATACTCTATATAGAAACACAAACCGTAGAAGTCAACCATTGTTAATTGATTGTGTTTTATAATTAATTTTATTTTTTTTACGGATACACATTGTAAATACTTATTACATCATGCAAATACTGTATTGCTTATTTTTTGCATTAGGTAGGCATCTAAGACAACATTTATGATAAATATTGTGAGCATATTATCAAGGCTTATAAATAATAAGTTTTAAGATTTTTATCTTGCTTTTTTTGGGTGAATGTAAGTTCCTACATGAGACCTAAAAAAACACATAGACTACTTCCTACATTGTGGAAAAAATTATGTTATTTGCATACATAATTTTTTCCAAAATTATATTGCATAACAATTAGGTATGTATGCAAATACCTACAACACTGCTACACTGTAAAAAAGTTATGTACTTATGTTAGTTCCTAGACGACCAAAACAATTAATTATCGTTTCTCCGTGATTCTTGAAATAATATACATTATTATAAATTATTTAAATTATTATTTTTATAATGAAATACAATATTATAATTTTGTATATGGTAAAAATTAGTCAAACCGATGCTAATGTTCTACAAAAATATCATACATTTTGCAAACAAATAATTGTAAAAAAAAAATATTTTTTATTTACAGTGGTTTATTGCGGATACCTCTAAATATTTAACATTAATCTATCGATTAACTCTGTTTGTTGTATAATCTAAAATTTGTCATTTATACATTTTTTTTTCAGCGTAATTTTTTCTGATTTTTGTGTTCATATTTGTGGTTTTTATTTTGATGTACTTATATTATTATCGATGAAGGAATATTATGTATCTTGAAAAAGTTTGAGAATTTCAATAATTTGAAAAATATTTGGATGTTGGTGATAAAAATGTAGTGTTGATCAATATCAATGTAGATTATAGAAGGTAATGCATATATAGCTTATTATTATTGTTATTGTTTTGTTCTGTGAGAACATTATTATATTACCTTCCGTACACAATCTGCAGGGTAAAAGATATGTTTTGTGATATTATACGTATAATTACGGGATTAACAATAATAAGAAAACAAATTGTTTTCTACACATTATTCGTCATAAAATCATGTACACACTCGTACGCACGCGAATTGTAACGTAAAACTGGTATGTGTTTATATACTTGACGACCTTGCCACCACTTTTTGCTATGTTTATTTAAATGTTTATACGTTCCCCTCCAAAAATACATTATTACTGCGGGAGTTAATGAAGGAATCGTGCATCTCATATACCTACTATCATTCGAATAGACTTAACGACTTGATCGCCGACGGTCAATGAGTCTAAACCTTTTGTGCTTGAATAGAAACTAACACGCTCGTTTTTCGCCGATATTTAATCATGCCTTTAATAAACGATGGATCTGGGATCGTTCTCAAAGGTAAGCATTTTACACGCATCGCGTTTCAAATAAAAGTAAAAAAAAAACATGGAATTTTTTAGTTTCTCCCAAAGACCAGCCCCTAGTTACGAATACCTATATCGTCTTCGTGTGAGTTGCTCATAGTTAATACTTACTCACATGACTTTTTTTCGGTCGTTCGGTTAAAATGACTTTTAAATAAAATTTTTTGACACAACGCAGTAGAACATAATTTTTGATTAATGGCATTCCCGATCTCTAAATATCTTATTTCCTAGGTCAGTTACTCTTTTAACTCTTTAAGTTTTAACTTAGTTTTTCAGCATTTATTATGATATTTTATGACTATAATATCTCTAGCTTCCAAATCACGTTCTTACGTTTAAATATTTTATTTCGATTTGCACTTTTTGTCCCCACATAAGGTTACCTATTACATCATACATACATTATTTAGATACTTACGCTATTAAAGTTTCCTTAGAATTTAGGATATTATAGATTCTAAATCTGCACGATGTTACAATTTTTTATATCAAATCTTCTCAAGTCCTATATCCTTGGTTTTTTGGGTTTCTTGGGTTTTCTGCGTATTATTTGTTCTTTTAAATTTTGAGTTAGATTTGTTTCAATAATAATCAGAAAAACAACAACACTGTAAACAAACAATGTGGGCTTCAAGTTGTTCATGTGATGTGAGTTCATGTGATGATTAAAGAAAAAACAGGATTCTCTTAAAGTTATAAGTCTGCTGGTTGATACTAGAGGCTAAAATTAAAATGATTGTTTTTGTCATTTTTACCTTACACGATTTATTCATAAGCCATGTAAAACCATTCATAGCTGAGAACCCAATGGGTATCAATGACTGTCACGGTATTATAATTGTTGATAATATAAAAAAATATACTTTGACGTCCCTTGTGTTTGTTTTTTATTAATTCTCCGAAAAGTCTTATTTTAGAAGTATCCTTTGCATTTTTCTAAAAACATTTAAGCTGCATAATATTATCGTTAAAAAAACGCAAACTTCTTTAAATTAGACTATTGTACCCAAGTATAATTTTTTTTTTAAATTATTACTATCAAGTCAATATATTGACTCTATTTTAAAATTGATAGTTTGTCTAGGTAGCTTAAGTATTTTCATGGTTAAATTAATTCTGTCTGCTTGTTTGTATTTTTCAGAATCCCTAAAAATTAAAGAAAAATCTACTGTGCCAATTACGGCAGACGAAGAGTACGCAAAAAATCCAGAAATATCTAAAGAAAATATAGAAGATTTAAGAAAATGGATAGGAACTCAACCACATTTACCACAAAACATTCCAGGTAAATTATTTTTTAAGACTGTTATAAATATAATATGGTGTACTTAAGAATTTTTCTTAATCGTTTAATATGTAAAAAATGTATGTTATTACCTATTAATAATTAGTTTTTAAAATATTTTTTTACTTACTTAATTTATTTAATTTAAATCTTTACTCTAATTATATATTTACATCAAGCAAATTATATATCACGTACAAACTAGTAGTTATACAATTATAATAATATTCGAGTGTTCAATATTCACAACATGCTGCGTGGTTGCCATAAACTCAACTTTTTAATTATTGACTATTATTAGATATTTAGATATGCAGGTACGTCCAAAGTTATGATTCTTTAATGTTTATTAAATACAAACTTGACAGTATAATGTATTATTCAATGTTCACCATCATAATTATTTAATACAGTTACATTCTTGGATGCCAACGCATTTGAAAATACATGAAGATTACTTTGTACCTTAATGTTTTCATCGCTTAACTCGGATTTATTGATGTAATTTTAAAGTTACCTAGAGTCTTATTATAATATACAATATAAATAGGTAATCATTATAGTTAAAAGTAATATGTAAGTTATAATTATAGCGCCTTTATAATACATAGGTGTATATATTATATATATTATAAATCCATAGGTATATTAGATACTGTATTAGGTACTGTATTGGGTTTACGGGTAGGTATTTTACTTTTATATGAAATAAATGCATGTTGATATTTTATTCGTTTATATGATATATTTAATATTATAACATTAACATAGTGCTTTTTTATTACCATTTTTGAATGAATATTTAATTATCAAGAAGGTATTTTCTAGTGCCCACATAATTTTAACTTAAATTGGTTTTTGCTTAATTAATATTTGCATTTTCTTTAGATTATTTTATGAAATCACAATATTTTCATTTAATGGTTAATAATATTGTCTTTGTTAACTTTTTAATGATATTATAACTAGGTTTAATATATTTAAATACCATTATGATTGAATTCTTTTATAGTTTCTATACGGAGTATATTAGAATATATATAGGTAGGTAACTAATGGACTATTATAATTATGCCGTTAATGAATATCCATTATGAATAATTATGATAATATATTTGGGATCTTATTTATTGAATAGGAGGTACCTAATTTTGTCAACAAGCTATAAAATTAATTAAAATAACATTAAATATAAGATAAAATTTTAAGTGCCCAAACAACATTAATTTAATAAAAATAAATGTTGAACAAAAACATGATAAAGATGCATTTACTAATATTGTCCAACACTAAAAAATTTGTTAATCTTATAATATTCATAAATTAATAATTTCATTTTTAAATTTAACAGTTGATTATTTTTGATTTTTCTGTTTCAATGTTACCTATATTTAACTATTTAAAACTTTTGTTATTTTTACTAAAGAGTATACAATAACTTAAGAGTATGTGACTTGTGTTTTAACATTTTTTAGTTTCCGTATTGTTTTTTAAATGTTAATCATTCGAAGTTAAATAGTTTTATGATTTAATATACTATAATTTAACTTTTACGCAATACCTAGCTATAGTTGAATTTAAACTTCAACTGACATTAAAAGAAAACTTTATAATATATTTGTAAGCAATTTTGTGTTCAATAAGTTTATTAAACTATTATTAATAACTATTTTAATAATAATATTTTCAATTTATTAATTTCACTCATAAATTCAGACATAAAGTAGTATTTATATTTAAATTAACTATTGTACTTGAACAGTAAAATAAATATAACATTTAGAATATTTATATCAACATAGTTTATATTATGTCGTTTACCTTCAGATTTTCGTTAAATATATACATATTCATAGGTCCTTATGTTATAATCAAGGTTTTTAAATTTCGCTGAATTAATGATCTTACAGTAATATAGTATTACAATTAACAGTTTTTTTTATGTATAAACAAAAATGATGAGTGATTTATAGAGACATGTTTTTAATTAGTAAGCATTATTTATATTTATAGTATTTTGTCCTATGCATTGTATTTGTAAGTATAACATTACAAACCATTTCATTTACGTTGGAATATGTTAAAATAGTATAATAATAAAATTAATTTCTAAGTAGTAATTTGATATAGCGCAAATTAAATATTACTCTATGATCTATCGACTAAAGTAAATTTCAATCATTTTAAATTAGGAAAATAGGCCTAGGGTAGGTAGTATTTTGAGGAAGCAATTCCCTTCTATAGAAACTGCCGTGCCAGTAGGTAACTATACAGGCTACAACCTACCAATGAAAAAAGGCCTTATATGGGAGTATTGTAATTGTATCACTTGTGACATAAGTCTAATATTGCATTACGAACAAACAAGCATCAAAATGTATGAAAATATTTTTGACAATGATGATTCATTTTTAGTTGCGATTTGGAGAATTTTAAGTTGACATTTTCGGTATTTGGAAGTATTTTGGATATTTAATAGGTCCTCGTTAGTCGTTATACACCGTATATAATATTATCTGTAGATGATTAAAAAAACGTTTGTTATTACTTATAACTTTATTAGTATATTTGATAATATGTTTTATAAAGTCATAATATTGATCATACAAATAAGAAATTTATCTAACCTACCTATATTATAAAATATAAGTCAATAATAAACCTTTATTAACCTTAATATTTATCGACATGCTAAGATAAAAATGTTTCAAAATATAAATAGGTGCATATTATTGTGACATTGTCATTGTGTACCTATAACAAGCATATTATTTCAAAGTATAGTATAATACGGAAATATGCAATTATTTTATTTATTTTGTTTATTTCTACCATTCATATACATGATTGAATTATTATTTATGTTTATAGTTTTAACTTTTTTAGCGAATTGAATACTTCAAACAATTAATTGTACAAAGATACAGACAATGATTGAGGGTTATTATAGAAAAACATTATAGTATATACACACGTTTTACTTCAATAACATCTTCCTACTCGTGAATTATCAAATTAGATTTTTAAAGATTTTTATTTTACAAACTTCTGTTTTTTCCATGGGAAAACCCCCGTTATTACTGTTCATTATTCAGTACAATGCTTCTCAACCTTTTTTATGACGACACCCTAATTTAGATCCATAAAATGGAGACACACTTGATATAATTAATGGATTTTTGCAACAGAAACTAATGTAAGATGTAACTCTATATGTAAATTACGAATGAGACTATCTTCACACTTGTGTTTCTTTTCTGCGGTTTTTACCATCATGTCATAACTCCATAAAATTGTCATATATTTAGACTTTGAACATGTATAGGTACAATATAAATAAATAATTTTTTGGCGATACAAATCATGGTAGTCTACGACATACTGTAATGTGCAACATCAGCTATAGTGTCTCAACACCAGTTGAGAACCCCTGATTTAGTGGATAATTTTTTTGAAAATGTCGGTGTTAGTTATTAAAATATTTATTTAAGGATAATAGTCCTTAAAATTGATTTTACAAGAATATAAAATAGATGTAATATTAATTTTAGTGAATCACCCTGTAAATGTAGAATATAAATATTTGTTTAATGCGTGATTTTATGTGACTTACCTATAGGCTATAGGCGTAATAATTTGCCTTTATCTATACCATAAAAATCTCGATGTATAATTTATAAATATTATAAATAACCTATACTAGACATCTAGTATTAAAAATTGAAATTCATCATTGTTTAATTTTTCAGAGGAAATGCTGATACTTTTTTACCATAGCTGCTTTTTTAATATGGAACAAACCAAAACTTGCATAGAAGTTTACTACACACTCAAAACAGAAACTCCAGAATTTTTCGAGAATCGTGACGTCTTTAGGCCAGAACTCGTCAATGCCCTCAATGTTTTGTAAGTATTAAAATTATTCAATTTTTCGCTTTCGTGGTGTTATTTCAACTATTGTCCAATATGTCTGAACTTCTGAAGGCTATTTAATGTTAAGTATACTGTGTTGTTATACCTGTTGTAAGAACTTGTATAATGCAGAGTTGCATTACAGTACTTACATATACATTGAGTTTTAATAACTAGGTACAAACGTATAAATTATTTTATTTAGTGTACTGAAAACTGGTTTATTCAAATTCATCATAAATAAACCATGAACTGTGACTTATTGATTTGTAATTTTAAAATATGTATGTTTTAGTTTTAGTTTTTAATTTTGATTTTTGATTTGATTTTTGATAATTTATCTATTGCACATGGATACAAACTGGACTTTGTGTGTAAAATCTAATTACTTTAACGTTGAAATACAATTTCTATTTCTTTTTTTTTTTTTTTTTTATTATTATTTATAAAGTTTTCCTGACAATTGGTCATCTAAACTTAAGGCTAAAGGAAAATAATATTTGACATTTTGAAAAAGGTTAACAAAAAAAAAAAAAAAAAAAAAAAATTTTTACAAATCAGTAAGAATTGATAAATTAGAATTTAACAATGTTTATGAGCTTAGATCTAACTATATTTTTACAACAGTAATAGGTATGTACAATTAAGATTTAATTAAGAACTAATAAATGGGAAAATAATAATACAATAGACAATTAACATAGGAGGTCATGTGGACGTCCACGCTTGAGACGGCGTATTGGAGGAGGGACACTTAGGTTGTAGTATTTAGCGCTGCTAGCAGACTGTAAGTGGTTGAAGAAGTTGATTGTTAGTTTCTTTATATAATCAGTTATAGACGGTAGTTGGAAGTCTGTGTGCAGTGCAGCATTACGTATGAACCATGGGGCGTTAGATATTGTCCTGAGGACTTTAGATTGAAATATTTGTATCTTGTGTATATGGGTCTTAGCACAATTTCCCCACACAGGGACTGCATATAAAAGTAGTGGTCGTAAAATTTGTTTGTATAGCAAAATGGAACATTTCCAGCTTAGCGATGATTGTCGGTTTAACAATGGATAAAGTATCTTTAGTCTCTGATAGCCTTGTTGAAGTTTAGAGGTGATGTGTGGGTTCCAAGTTAGTTTCCTGTCTAATATTACGCCAAGATATTTTATGCTAGGTGACCAGGGAATGTTATTGCCGTACAGTTTTAAATTTCCGGGAGTTTTGGGGCGACGATTAGTGAAAAGGACTGCTGTGCTTTTTTGAGGGTTCAGTTTTATTTTCCATTTATCTCCCCATTTTTGGATGTCATTCAGGTGGTCTTGGATATTTTTTGTCACTGTTTCAACGTCTGTAGAGCTTGAATATATTGCGCTGTCGTCGGCATAAAGTGCTATTTCCGTATTAATCGATGTAGGAAAGTCCGAAACATATAGGTTAAAAAGTAACGGAGAAATTTTTGAACCTTGAGGTACACCTGCATTTATAATTTTTATTTGTGAAGTAGTATCGTTAATTTTGACTTTAAAACAACGAGCAGTGAGGTAGGATTTAATTAGATTGTAAATAGCATTTGGTGTGTTTAACATTTTTAGTTTATATAAGAGTCCGTCATGCCAGACCCGATCAAAAGCTTGGGCTACATCTAAAAAGGCTGCACCTGTATGTTGTTTTTTTTCGTAACCATCGCTTATATGTTCTGTTAGACGTAGGAGTTGTTGGGTAGTTGAATGATTTGATTTGAATCCGAATTGGAAATGCGGAATAGCATTTATTGCATTTAAATAATTGGTGAGCCTGGAATGTATAATTTTTTCAAAAATTTTTGAAACTGATGACAGTAAACTAATAGGTCTGTAGTTACGCGGATCAGTGTTATCTTTGCCTGGTTTTTTGACCATGATGATTGTGGCCAGTTTCCATTCCTTAGGAAAATATCCAATTTTTATTAGGGAGTTGAATAATATGGCTAAATAAGTAATTGCTTTCCTAGGAATATTTTTTAGGATATCATTAGTAATTAGATCGTGACCGGGTGATTTTCTTTTTGGTAATTTTTTTATTATATCTAAAATTTCGTTTGGACAAGAGTAAGGTAAAATATTTTGTGGAAAAATATTGGGCTCACATAGTTTTTGTTTGACCAGATTGTCTGTAGAGTTTTCAATTGCAGAATTGTTTAAAGTGAAAATATTTTCAAGAGTGTGGGCAAACAGTTCACATTTTTCCGAGTCAGTATTTTGGTAAGTACCACTCGCTTTTAAAGGGGGGATTTCATTTGAGTTTGGTTTAATTAATCTTTTAGTCGCTGCCCATAGATTTGAGTCTGCTGGGTGTATAGCAGATAAGTATTTTTGATAACTGTTAATTCTATGTTCTTCTAGTTGTCTTTTAACCTCTTTCGTTAAATAATTTAATTTTTTTCGATCAAGTGGTTGTCTGTACAATTGCCAGAGTCTTCTGGTTTGGTGTTTTGATTTGATTAATTTTACAATGTTGAGGGGAAGTTGATTAGGACTATAATTTATTACCGTATTTTTTTTTTCTGAGCATTCTTCGGCCGCTTGACATATGATTTCACGTAAATGTGTTACTGCAGTGTCTGCGCTGTTAGTATTTAATATATTTTTAGGAATAATTAGATTTGTTGTGATGTGTTGTTTGAATTGTTGCCAATCTGCTTTACCGGTGATGAGTTTGCGAGTAGGAGTTGAGAACGATAAGGACGCATCTAATGTAATTTTAACAGGTAAATGGTCCGAGTCGAGTTCGAAAAGTGGTTCTTGGTGCAAAGAAAAACGAATTGATTTTAGTATAATTACATCTAAAATATCAGGACTTCTACTTTGATCATATGGATAGTATGTGGGTGTGTCTGGAGCTGACAGTATCGCAGGATTGCTTGCAAGGTATTTATAAAGTTTACGTCCATTAGCGTTTATGGATTTACAATTCCAAGTTGTATGCTTACAATTTAGGTCACCTACTAAAATAATTTTTTGATAGCTATTTAATATTTTTTCAAAGTCGTTTATATACATTTGAAAACTAGGTGATTGATAAGCACTAATTATTGTTGTAAATGATTGGTTTATTGTAATAGATATTGCAACTGCTTCGAGAGTTTGTGTAGCAGGTAGATAAGTTAATTGATGTTTTATTTTGGATTTGATTATTATAGCAACACCACCTGAAGGTCGAACCGCTAGCCTATCTTTGCGATAGGTAGTATAACCGTTGAATTTAATTTTATCGCTAGCAATTAGATGCGTTTCACTCACACATGCAATATCAACATTATGAGCCGATAAGAAAGCTGCAAATGTGTTTCGATTTTTCTTGATTCCATTAGCGTTCCAATTTATGATAACTAGATTAAGATTATTTATAATGTTAGACGACATTTATATTATTTAATAGAGCAGGTAGATTTTCGATGACTTTTTTGATAATTTGTGAGACGAGTGTGCTGATTAAGGGCATAAGTGACTTAATAAGTTCGTTAGTGATATTTGAGTTATTTGATTCTTCATCTTGTTTAAGATTATTTTTTTTATTTTTAGTTTTGTCAGCATAAGTTGGAGTGTTGCTTGTGTTGAGATTTGTTTGGTTTAAAACTTGGTTTTGGGGATTTTCGATAACCGTATTGGTTATGGGTTGGGTATTTTTGTTATCGTGTACACAACTTTGTTGAGTAATGTGTTTAGGAGCGTTCTTTGATAGTTGGGAGGTACTTTTTTTATTTTTTATTTGCTTGTATATTTTACAACCTCTATAATTAGCAGGGTGATTTTCATTACAATTGACACATATAGGTGGACTGTTTTTATCCTTAGTGCATTCGGAGTAGTGGTGGTTTTCTAAGCATTTGACACATCTAGGGGGGAGGTTGCAGAAGTTTTTTGTGTGTTGGTAACGTTGGCAATTTTTGCATTGTGGTATGGACGAATCGCTTTTACGACTCTCGACCGAGACAACGCAATGAAGGAGGCGATCAAGTGAAAATATGTTTTTCTCGGATTTGTCTAGTAAGACAGCAACGATTGGTATGGGAGATTTGTAACGATTTTGGAGACGTGTGACCGAAGTGACGTTAAATTTTAGTTCAGTGAGGGCCGAAAAGATGGTTTCTTCGGGAATAGAAGTAGGTATATTTCTGATTATTACAGATAGGTTTCTTTCCTCAGGAAGTTGATAGGTGTGGTATTTAATGTTTTCTTCAGATAAGTATTTTGTAATTGTACGGTAGTCGAATACCGTTGATAAATTCAACTTTAAGAAAATATTTTTGTTGTTTATGTTAAAATTGTCTACTATCATAGGTGTGATCTTGTTTATGAACTCAATATAGTCGACGATATCATAAATATATAGTGGGGGAATTTTTTGAACTATTTGAATTACCTCTACAGCATCCATGTCAGTTTTCTCCGAGTTGTCATCATTTGTATTGTCAAGATTTGCGAGAGGAGTGTATTTATTTTTGTGCGCATGCCGCGGAGAAAGAGCCTCGCTGCTAGAACGTTTATTACCCGAGTATTGGGAAGTATTGGCTTTTACCATATTTGCACCATGCACTGAACTATTGATTTAGAAACACGCGCGACGGTAGATAAGCGAGCGAAATACGTAAACACAACCGGTTGCGATGTACGCCGCGCGAAGACAATTTCTATTTCTATTGCTATTAGTAATAACTTATTTCTTCAATTTTCAGACATAATAGGTAGGTACTAAAGTCTGCATGTTAGGAATGGTGGGCATTTTGTTACAGTCGGTTAATATGTAAAAATGTTCTCATTATAATATGACCTAACTACAATGTACAATGTGTCGGTAGGTACCCAATAACTGACGATAAAGTGGTCCATGTTGAACATTTATAATATTGAAAAAGCATGGGTATATAGGTATTAAACATTAATAAATAGGAAATGTTTGGATTAACGTTTACATGTACAGTATACACGTATACCAACTTGCTACTTAGTTACTAATATATAAAAATACAAAATGAATATTTTAATATTAACTTGTAGTATTAGCATAATACTCTAAGTAAAACTATTTGTTGAGTTATATTTAGTTCTTTGCAATAGGTATTGTTTAACCTTTGTCTGTTATTTACTTTTGATTTTAATCTAAGTTTTACATTTCATTTTATATGCACCCAAAATAATATACAAATAAAATAATAAAATGTAACAAATAATTGTTGATCAAATTTGTCTTAAAATTGATTACTAGGTGATTTTTTTAACATCAAACAACCTTTAAATTGAACATTATTAACGTATTTTCTTATATTTCTTTACATAATTTTAAGTCATTAAAATCAAATTTCTAATGAATAAAATATTTACTACAGTTTTAGAGTAGAGCAGCAAATAAAATTCTTCTGCAAAATAGGACATAAAAAGAAATAAAAACTTGAGAAATTAAAAATATATTTTCAAAAACGTTTAAACATTTTAAAAAATCGCCCTGTATGGTTATGTACCTGGTTTTCGGCAGGAAACTACCGATTGAACTGTAGGTTATTTTTTCTCGTCATACAAATGTAAATTACAGGTCTAATTTTATGAGAGGTCAAAATCCATCATTTACTTGTTCTGTCTCCTGTAGAAACAAAAATATAACAACAGTAGAGTCACAAATGGTATTAAAGCTGATAGTTCAGCATGGGTTACGACTTATGATTAGAATTGTACAGTTCATTAAATTCTTGAATTTCTAGTTTAAAATAAAGTTTCTAAAGCTGTTAAAGGATAAATATTGAAATTATGAAATATTGTAAATAATCTGAGAGAAAACACAGATAATCTTTTTATCTTTAAATTTGATAATATTCACTTTATTTTTAATGATTAATACACGTCTACACATAATCATTGAGACTGCTAAACACGAATCTGGATGTGGCGTCCTCTTAACTGTCATTGATAAAAAGTAAAAACGATTTAAAAACCAGTTCGAAAGCATATGAAATAGGTAACCAGGAAATAATTTGTATTCATTTGGACCTCAGATAGAAAAAATATAACGATTTTCAAATTGATAACTCATAAATCGAAATAAATTTTTACAACTTTGGATCAGAAAATTAAGAATTGAAACTCATTTCAATTTTTTTTTGTACTTTAAAACAGTATTATGCTTCATAACCATTGACTATACTATTACTAGTCAAGCACATTCATAAAAAAAAACACTTACCTATACACACCCTTTTCTCAGATTATCGCTTTCTTTTGAATTTACTGTAAAATTCTTTAGTGTGATGTATATATACTGATTTATATTAGACTGGTAGGTAAATAGTTAAAGATCAACGGATCTTTTAGCCGATAATAATATTATATTATCATTTTATAACATGTGGAATATACCTACATCATTAAAGGTTTTCGAAAATCAGTATTTCGTAGTATCTAGTAAATGATTACGTGTAATATTGCATGAATTATATTAAAATAATGTAATAAATATTTAGTACCCTATTTTTAATATAAGCTATGCAATATTTATATCTACCTGATTATTGAAGGTCGTTTTAATTTGTGTTATTGGAAATAAGTAACAACATTTTAATAGGTATGTATGTATATTGTATACAAATTAGAATGATATTTGAAAACTTATTGTATTAAATACGCTTAGCTTGAAAAGGTTTAAATATTATGTTTTGATGCACACGCCACACGGTGTTAAGTTTTTAATAGTTTAGGTTTGGTAATACTCATTACTTATATTTATTAGGTACTTATCAACTACCCCGGGATGCACAAATTAATTTAAATATGATTTAAATTAAGTACGATATTTTCTGTCAACAAATAATTAGCAGATTAAACATTTGAACAGAGTTTTTAGTTTTTACAATTAACTGTATTTTGTTTCGAGTTTTAAAAATATAATATTAACTTATGTAGGTATGGGTTTTTCCTATGAATACGTTTTCAATTAATATTTAGTACTAAAAAATCGAACAAATATGTAGATATTTGTTCAATTAATGTTATTCGTATTGATGCGTACAATATTGAATATATTTAACCTAAAATTTACTTGCTATGTTTAGGTATATCGTATATGCATTTTTTGGTTTTATTTTATTTTCCTCAGATTTTTGACGAATTTATGATAATAATATGATAAATTTGAAATTTGAACATTTTGAAAAACAATTACCATGCACATGACCATAATATTATGTCATAAGAATTATAAGGATGTATACAATTAAACAGTTGATAATATAATTAGGTATTTGTTTAATCTACGTAATACCTAAACTAATATATAATACTACAAATAATAGTAATTAGAAGATATTATTATATGACCATAAATATGGATATTATGAAGTGTTTGAGAATTTAATGGCACACTGCACAATCTCGGTAGGTCGGTATATTTAGGGTATAGGTATAACTAAAAAATCTCCGAGTATACTTTTTTTTTCATTTTATGTAACTTAAAATCTGGACGTCTGAATTAAAGCATTCGTAAGTTGTTATAATAATTCCGATGGTCATTATCATACAATTTATTTATTTATATATTTAAAGTAAAAAGTTGTCATCCTTCACTGTTATAATCCTTGGGTAAGTTACCTACTGCAGTTTTGTGATATTTAAGTAGGAATTACATTTAAAAGCGTATGTAATTTCAAAGTGGAACTCAATTTGTTATACTATTACTGTTTATACTTTTGATAATTTTTTTTTAGCTTGTAAAGAGATACTTGCCATATCAACTCATTTCCATATTTTTTAAATAAGTTTGAAAGAATAACACAATACATTTTAACTGTAAGATAATTTTTAAAGTTTCTGTAGACGTACAATTGTAATTTTTATTAAATTAAATCTATTAAAAACTACAAATGTCAGATGAAAGTGTTTTGGTACTTATTAGTAGGTACCTACTGGGTACTTATATAATTTTACCACCCACAAACACTGAATTATTACTGCATAAGGCATAACTAATAACTTCCCAGTTCAACCTAGTAACCTAACCATGGTAAGACATTTGAAAAGTTATCAATGGGTCTACTACAATATTTAAATTTTTAAAACAAAATGTTTTATGAATACCTAAACTGTCTTAATATCAATTAATAAAAACTTGTATTTGCAGAGATTATGGTTGTTTGCCTATCCGTAACCCAAATGACTACCAAATCATCTACCACAAATTACGGATTTTCGAGGCCAATAAATATGTGTTTAACGACGGTGTAAAGCTGTTGATTATGGCAATGGATGCATGTTTCAAGGTGGACGGTACTTGTCCTGGCTATATATTCTTATTTGACATGCGCGGCGTCCGATTGGGCCATCTTACCAGACTGAGCATATCTTCACTCCGAAAATTCTTCACGTTTATACAAGTATTTACAAAATAAAATATTAGGGCCACCTAAATTATTGTTATTATGTAAAACACGATTTCTTTTATCGGGAGACATATTTTTCACTATAGACTGTACTGTTGAAAAAATATGTTTTTCACGTTATATGCCTAATTTATAATATTACATACTGCAGTTACTGAACTGTCAATATAATCTGCTCCAGTTGAGATATTGTATAATTTAATCATAAAGTCCACGTATTCTGAAAAAAATATAATACGTAGGAAGTCGAAGGAAATACACATCGCCTATATATTTTTCTTCGGTTTTTCACATTATTAAATAATACGACATGGATTTGTGTATACAATTATTATTTCAAAAACAGCTTTGAAAATTTAAGTTAGATGGTTGTTTTACCAATATTTATTATGAATCTATCTAACTTATATTATACAGTATAATTAAAGTTAAATAGATTGTATACATTTCATATGCATGTATTAATGTATTATTTGCTGCTATTGTCCAATTGTGCGATCGGCGTACTGCAGTTGTTGTTTTTTTTCTGGTTTTGCGAATGGGTCAAATAATTAGATCAAGGTTGACAAGAATACAGAAACGTAAAGATGTACTCACCCACCTAGTATATTGGATACAATATTATAAATGTCATTATTTTATATGAAACAAGTAATGTTGCATCCGAATATTTGGCTGTCTGACATAATATTGCTAGATACTATATAGCAGTGACGGCTCTATAAAACTAATATTTAATGTTAAATCGCAGCTAATGGATGTCAGCGAACTATTCTTGTTTTCTCTCGCTAACCCAAGCAAATTTGAGTTCAGTAGAACCAATATTGTGTTAGATATTAGCTTTAATATGGGAATCGCACGCTATTAGGCAAGTACTTACATACCATTATTTCATTTTGAGTGTCTAATTATTGACATTAACATATTCAATCGACTAAATCGTCAGTTATTCTAAAATGTATTGTTTTTTTTTTTTACCTTACATCGTTTATTGAAGCCAATAATAACAACGTGTTGTTGTTTATAAGTGCGTGTTTACTATAGCTGTTACAGAAATGTCAATTTATATACTCATATGTTTATTGAATTTAATTACAAATTAATTATTGGTTATATTTTATTTAGACTCATGACCAGGAAGTTTATACTAACATGCTTGATGAACATTAATTTTCTTTAGTAGATTGGTCGATGTATATCGTATAGATATAACAATAATTGCGCATGATAGCTACTTAAAACTCAAATAGGTAATAATATTCTCAAAATTCAGTGATTAAGTGTGTTAAGAAATTACTCGTGTAAAGTAAAATATTTCATCAATACCTAGCCATGCATATTCTTGTATGTAGGTACCTATTGCAATAAAAATTCACAATTTGTTCTTGTGTATGGTATAATAACAAATTCTTCTGTAATATACCTAATCTTCAATGACCAGTTTATTAATAGCACCTGTTGGTAATTAGTAATCACACTATCCATTATACAATATCAAACGCGTGTTGAATTTGGTGCTGACATTAGGCAAAAGGGAATGGAATATCTCTTTTTCATATTGTGTTCATGTGCTGCTTTTTTCCCGTCCAGTACAATGAATACAATAAAATTCAGATTAAAAACCAATTACTTTATTATTCAACTGTTACTTTGCTGGTATGCGTAACCATAAAGTGCAAGAATAGTATTTCGCATATTTAGAATACTTACCTAGTACCTATACTGCAGTTATATACTCAACTATATTATGGAAAAAATGTTATTTGTAACTTTTACTATTGAATTTAAGAGTATAATATATTAATAATTCTACTGCTAATACGTAAACGTTTGTTACGCGGCCTTGGCCTATAGGCCATAGTAATTTTGTTGAATATCGTAGTTTAACGAACTGTGTTTAATATTATAAATATTAACTATAGGAGATATCTGACATTACATAACGATTGTGCGTAGTCTAATAAATGTAAAAAAATTGGGCAATAAGCAGTAACCTGCTTTTACGATAAACACTTGAGACTTTAAACTCGTCTTCTTGTAAAACACCAATAAATTATTACACTTTGTTCCAATATTGGTAAATACTCGAATCTTGATAAATATTTTAAAAATATAATAAAATCCAGATGTAGCTAGGTTTGACTAGGCACTAATTTGTTTGGTTGTGCAAGTGTTGTATCCATTTAAATATTTTTTAAATTGTTTTAGAAATAAAATTAATTTTGTTTGGTTCCACGTACCGTTATTAATTGAGAATATTATTGTTATTCCAGGAAGGATTACCCGTTCGTCTGAAGGGTATACATGTCCTGAACACGCAGTCAATTGTTGACAAAATTATGATGCTGCTGAAACCTTTCATGAAAAAAGAGCTGCTGAGTATGGTAAATATAAATTAATTAATTCAAAAAATATCTGCTTATAATTCGTTAGCTAAAATAAATATTAATTGCATTGTTTGGACTTGCCTTTCAGTATAAATATTTATAATTATTGCAATTTTTTCGCTGCATTTGGTTGGCACAATGAGTCAATTATAATATTAATTTACTTCATGACATTTTTTAAGCATTGTTTTAACTAGTTCACGGTCCACGTTGTGTCTACTAAATCTATACACTTAATAAACTATACAGTCAGAATGATAGTCTACTGTTTTTTTATATTACTTGTTCATTCCGTTATGGGTTTATAATTTTCATTCTGTTGTTTTATTTAATATTTAAAACAAATACTTGTACTTTTAACAGTCGTGTCGTTTCCTTACGCTCCCTAAAAATTTCACCTGACGCGTAGCGTGACTTTGAGCCTAACTTTCCAATGCTAAATCACTATAGTAAACATTGTACCTACCATAAAATATATTATATACTGTTCGGGTCGTTCGCGCCGGTCGTTATAACGTTGAATACCAACAATACAGTTGAACGAAAATAACAGCGGTTTTAGTTGTCTTAGAATTTTTAATTGAACCTCAAGTGTCAACCGTCTGCGTAAACTATTTAATAAAGTTATACCTCCGATACATCATAATAACATCATATGAAGGCATCTGGGAATATTGTTCAATAGTATCTAGTATTCCAGTGTAGTCACTGTAGATCAGCTTTTAAATTTCTGAAATGTCATAATCTAACCTCGTCTGTGCCTCGAGTCACTTCTCAAATACCTATGTACATACAAATAGTCGGCGAGCGGCGACAAGGTAATATATTACACCCAAACACTATACAATTTGTAATTTATCAGACGTATATTATACACTTTTCATAAAATGGCTGAAATCATGTTTAATAACATATCGCTTATGAAAATATTATGCTATACAACGCAATGACTAAACTGAGCGATTAAACATTAATGAGTCGAACCGGTCGAACTCTATATAGCGCGAGTAAGTGAAATACCTACACGACGTCCCCGCACAAATTGATAGGCTCGTGCAATCTCCCCAGGCAAAAATATTAACGTCCAGTGGCGTGCTCAGCTTTTTTGAAAGGGAGGATATTAATTTTTGTATATTCTCGGACCACGTTATATATACAGTATTTATTGTTCTATCCCATATTTTTACGACGAAAATAAGCCAAAGGTAGGATATGACACCCTCGTCACCGCCGCGAGCATCACTCCTCAGTTAACGTCCTCAAATAAACAAAATGATCAGCCCATTTTTGTAAATTACTGTGACGTTGGCACGTCGGTATACACATTTTGTAATATGTATACGCTTGTGCGTGTATATATGAGATAATACTGTGTCGTTAAAAATCAACTGTACGTATGTTACTTTATTCCGTTAAATTCAAAAAATAAGACGGTAAAATTATTCATACGTATGTTATACTATGGGAGCTATAGTTTGGAATTTTTTTTTTATAAAATTTACGTAAATACGTTATGCATTATTATAATATTATATGGTGTGTGCGACGTGTTATCGATCTATAGAGATAATCGATCTGCGTGTGTATAGGTACGATGATGTTATGTACAGGTGCAAGGTGCCTGTATAATAACATTATGCGAAGCGAAATAATTATGTTAAGTTGTGCGAATCGAGGCAGATCGCAGATCTGTATATATTACCTATGTATTATATATGCCTGGAAAATATTAAAATACATGCGATACGATATAATTTTAACGACGAAACGCGGTTAAATCATCTGGCGGCTTGGTGTTTCAGGTGCACTTCTACACGGAAAGAGACGTGGAAAAAATTTACGGAGTGGTGCCGAAAGAGTGTCTGCTCGAAGACTACGGCGGCCTGGCGCAATCCATCGAGAAAACGCACGGTACGCATAACAATAATATACGACGTTAAACCTACACAATATATACTTACAATATAATATGTCAGTCCCCTCGTAATGTATAAGTCGCATCGTTGTCACAACATTGCAATATTACGCGGTCACGCGTATCCATCACTGCACCACTCACAATATATATGCGTGCAAGCGGTACCCATATAATACGTCATCCTCATCCAAAGTACGTATGACCGGGTAACGATCGTAGGTAGGTCTATACCTGTGGGCAGAGGAGAGCACGATTCACGTTTACGACCGCGTACACAATTATATGCAGGGTGATTTCTTTTTTTCTCCCATCGTTGCTATACCTATACCCGTGCGAAACCGCGAAAGCCTATGTATATTGTGATGGTACAGTGGCGTAGCCTGCAGGATTATGAAATGGGGGGGGGGGCTTAAGCAGACTAAGTTTTTGCCACGTCATTGCGATGGTAAGCATATGATAATATTAAGATATAGTTTGATATTATGTCATCATCCGTACGAGGTTTTTGTTTATTTCCATGTAGACGTTTAAAGGAAAAAAGAAATTCGCACAAATATACACAACGCGCTCGGAATATAATATAATGTATAAAAAAAAAATACATTTATAATATTCGTCCAAATATGTGTGGCGTATACCCGACGGTGCCTACATACAGGGTGATTCACCAAGCATGCTCACCCCCATTTTTTACTTCAGCAATGCAGTTATTCGAAATCTGGTTTTTGAAATTTTAAAATATACTTAACGGCCATCATACACTGCATGTTTTCAAATTGTTGAGATTTTCTGTGCCTAAGTGGCAGAAGAGAGTGTCCTTTGGAGAAGCAAACTTCTGTTTTTCAAATGAGAACCAAGGGGGTTAGGTTTCCTTTAAAACGACCCTCTTCTTTTAAGCGGCACAGAAAATATCAACGATTTGAAAATATGTGTATGCTCATTAAGTATATTTTAAAATTCGGAAAATCTGCAAACACTTCTAATGAGTTCATTATTGAAAGAAATACCGGGGGTAAGCATGCTTGGCGAATCGCCCTGTATATATAATATATTATATAGGTTCCGACTCCTTATACTTATTACTGTGTGCGTACGCATGAATGTATGTTATATACATCGGTACCTATATCGCAATAATATTATGTGTTTACGGTTAGCTATAGTAGTTACGTGCACGACACACACGACGAAAAAAAAATCGCACACACGACACAAACGTAGCAGGCGTATCTGTATGCATATATATCGTGATATTGTTTATGCAAAAATATAATATAATATTATTTTTTACGCAGTCGTCCGGACGTACGTATAGTACTATCCTTATTATTATTATTATTATTATTATTACCAACACGAACGCAACTTATATGTATATATAGGTTAGGTCGCATACGTACTACACTTGTACGCTCTGTTCTCAAGGTCCACCGCCGTTGCATAATATCAGTGTACGGGAATTTTGTGGTGGGAGCGACGCGGGAGACGCGGTATGTCTTTCCATACGTAGGTATATATACATAGGTATCTATTAGAATAACATAATGGCATATTAAAAAATATGTATTCATGCGCGTGCATAATATTACTATCACATATACGTGTGTGTTTATAATATGTAGGTAGGTAGGTCGGTGTCATCGCGATTACAATATTATAATATTATGATATCACGGCGCAGGGGTTAAATCGCGAGTTTTGACCCGGCCAGCGTGCAGCGGGCCGATGTGATTTTGATTTTCAACATCGTTTTGCCACTTTTTAAACGTGTGAGATTTTTTTATATAATGTATATATTATTACTGTACGAGATCGTCTAACGTAGTTAAATGCCTAAATGTACACGTCTGTATAATTAGGTCAATCGGACGACTGAAACGTGTTAACGAGATTTTTTATACTAATTCACATAATATTATTATCATGACATTCTTGATTTTTATGGTTGTGGACGATTTACAGCACCTAAACTGTCAAAACTCTTAAACTGTACAAGGTAACCCCGATATCAACCATGCACATAGGCGAAATTCGAGAGGGGGGTCTTGGGTGCAACACCCCCAATTTTTCATATTAATTTACATTTTAATATAGTCTGCATACGAGTATCCTTAACCATAAGATAGTATGAAAACATTTTAGGAGCTTCGGCACCCCCGGTTTTTTCATTGAAATTGCGCCCCTGACCAACCAGTCCATTACATAGTACCTACTAGCTAGCGGCCCCCTTTTCGGCCAAAACTTACCGTTTCTTTTTCGGCCCGAACAGTTTTCTTTAAAATGTATAATTATAACAAATTAATTAAAATAAATATGATTGTATCCAAAAATGTAATTTGTTCATAAAATTATTACCTATAAATGTGCATTAAATTTTTTTTAATAATAAAATAAAATAATTGGCAATAAAGTGTTATGATATAAATTTTACTATTTTTATAATCTTCACTCTTCAAAATAAAATCTTAATTTTCGACGTATTCATGAATACTTATTTTGCTATCATAATTATTACTATACTGGTACATAGACTATATTAATTTGTATTCTACTAATGTAATAGGTTATAGCATTTTACTGCCAACAATTTTTTTTTCATAGTTGTAGATGATAATTTTTATAAAAAAAAAATCAAATTTTTGAATACGATCATATTTAAATAAATATAAAAATTTTTAAGTTCAGTTGTAAAAACAATAAATTAAAAAGAAAAACTGTACTGGCCGAAAAGGAACAGTGACCGAAAAGCGAAAGGCGAGTTTTGGCCCAATAAGGAACTGTAAGTGATGGCCGAAAAGTGATACTGGCTATTGTATTATACTCCTCTATACCCCCATTTCCTGACTCCTGCTTATGCTTAATATACCCTTTAAAGTAGGTGCTTGTTGGTTACTTAAATTACCTTCATATTCTTGACTAGGTACATTATTTTGTTTCGAAGCCTATGTAATTATTTTATTTACGTCTGAATTACCAATTCCATGCAGTGTGTATTTAATTTAAATATGAGTTATATATATTTAATTTAATAGGTACCCACACATAAAAATAATACAATATATTACGTGCAAATATATCTGGATTTGATATGAAAAAGAACTTCGGGTGGGTCAATGGTTAAAAATCATTTTTGGTTTTTATTGGCACCCGCGGTGAAGTCACTCGGTCAGACAGCTTAAAACGTCCCTTGATTTGGTATGATCTACAATCGTAATTAACCGATAGATAACCCTCATAAGTTATCGGTAGGAAGTCGGAGATAAACAAAAACATCCTGTTGTTATTACTTATTGAGTCATGAGAATAAGTTGGGGATTATCAACAAGTATCATATTATAATTATTGTACCAACTTTAAAACTTAAACATACCTAAAGCTAATTGAATACCATGCATAAATTATAGTAATTAATTTGTTATGATATGTACACACATACGCTTGATATGATTACTTGAGCTCTATAAATTGGCAATCTCAGAAAGAATAATTATAGTATAAGTATTTTTACCTTGAGTTTTTGTATGTAGTAATTTTACCAAAATGCTATTAAAAAAAAAATTGAAAATGCCCGATGAGGGAGTCTGTGGGTCTATTTGGTACGCCTACGGAAATACGTTAAAATTGTACCTACATAATATATTAATATCTATGTTCAGGTTACGACATACTTACTGAAATTACTATTTCTAATGCACACATAAGTCGTCTGTATAGTAGGTACCTATTACTTTAATGAAAGTAGAAGTATTTATTGACACCCCAGACGTATTCAGCTATTATAACTCCTATACTCACAAGTATTGTTTTATTGAATAAAATAGATACAATTTTATGTTTCTAACACATGTTATAATAGATAATTATTTTCTTTTATCTCATTATTTATTATTAATCAATACCATTAGCTAATTAGCACATTGTTGCGATAAAATATACGACATATACGTATACTTTATTTCTAACTACCTAACTATACATTGCTATTTTGTTTAAAACTTATAATTTTCTCTTGGTGGATTTAAAATTAAACTCAAGTCATAGGTCTGTGTATTCGTTAATCGAAAGTCGATACCTACCTAACGTTTACCGATATTGTTTTTACAAACTTGGGAGAAAACAAAACAAATTATGAATAATGTCCGAGATACCTATGAATTCAAACCTTAAGGTATCTAATGGTAAATTAGCAACCGATATGATAATATTATGTATGTGAATACGATTAGTTCGGTTTGTTTCTATTTTCGATTTATGGAATAGCAGAAAAATGAATAATAAAAAACCACTAATAGATAATTATAATTAATTTTGATTTTACAGCTCACTTCATCGAATGGATGAAATTAATGAAGCCGTTATTCGAACACGATTATCAATACAAAGCCGACGAATCAAAGAGGCCGAAAAAGAGTAAGAAGTCCTTATCGACTTCATTTAAATCGTTGGAAATCGACTGATGTGATAAAACTCGACTACAAATTACAACGTTTAACAATAATCGAAAGACGAAAAGAACCACAATCTCTAACGATATATTCACGGGTCGGGTAAAAATAAGATTATCTATAAATATACGTATTTAACTTATTTCGTTAGAAAAAAACTTATAACTATGATTTTGTGGTAAAATGTAATATTTTTATTTTTATTTCTTTTATTATTATAAACATTTAAGACATGACGTGAAACTATTTTATGATCGCAACACTGTACATACAACTGCACAAGTAGTTATACATAGATATAGGTATTTAGGTAACACGCTATATGATATTACATTGTGGCGTTATGTGTTGTATATATTATATATAAAAATAAATATGTTTATTATTAAAGAACAATATGTATTATTATTTGTTGACCACCTACCGAAAATGCTGAAAATGTCAGTTGTTTGCGCCAATTCAACCGCCATCCGTCGGTCACCAACCGGTCCATCATTATTATCATTATTTATTATCGTATAGATTCATCCGTTCGTGCTGCAGGTTTGTATCGCTCTATAATCGCTTTTATTATATATTATTATACGCATTGGTTGACGTAACATAATTATTATATATTATTATATATTTACATGCATCAGCCGAGTGTTGACAGTACTTTGTATATATATAGGTAGGTAATTATTATAATAATAGACCAATGTTATTGTGATTTAAATCTTAATAATATGTCCTGCACAAATATCATATTAAATTATACCTATTAAATATTAGACAACTATCTGTACGTATAGCATCGACTACGGACTAGGTAAGTATTATAATTATATTATTATTATATTGATAAGTGATGACCAATAATGAATATGTTGTTGTAAATATGAATTATCACACAATAAGAACAAAAATAGAAATAATAACATATTTTGTACGGACATTGCAGGCAGGTACGAAAAAACACACGTCAAGAGATAACAATTTTCGAAAACTTTACGCATACATGTAAAACCGAAGTGGAGTTTTTAAGACGCGTAATTCACACACATATCATAAAGGTATGCATACGACACTGGCATAACTAGAGATAAAATTATGTACAGGCTGTGCTAAAACTATGTACCTGACTGTTAGTTTTTAGATGGTAACAATTTGGAGCATAAACTGGGTCAGAGTTTTTTAAACTACGTAGTAGGTACGTAAGTATACCGACTGGGTCCATACTGAATTATTTTTTAGGACGATTAAAAATACAGAGGATATCACGATAAGAGGACGATGATTCCCATTACTTTACACAAATGTTTTTCTTGTAATTTATTAAGGCCCCTGCAAAACGTGTCAGTTTTAACTTTTTAAGGAGTTGTGTATAGGCAATTCTTTCGATACTTTCGCTCGTCTTTGAGTGTGTAGTAAATGATCATTACTGTGTGCATATCATAGACTATAGACAGTGTTGGGTAAGTTACTTTTTAAAAGTAACTATGTTACGTTACAAGTTACAAAACAAAATAGGTAACTAGATTACTTGATAGTTACTCGAATACAAAAGTAATGCGTCACGTTACATTTTTTACTCAAAAGTAACTAGTTACAATGACTTTACTCTTGTGTTATTTACATTTCATAAAAAAAAGTATTTTTTAAATCAATCTTTTTTATATTTATTTTATACAAAAATGTATTTTAAAAATTTTGATCAGTTATTCTAACTCGTTTTTTTCGTACAAATATCTCCAGCTACACTAAAGGGCCTTTCAACAGAAGCTGAAGAAGAGAGTGATGTATTAAACTTTACAAACATTTGTTTCATCATAGGTTAACTATTTAAAATTTTTAAATCGCCTGTATAAACTGTATTATAATAGCGCTCCACTTCACCATTGGGTTGATCAGAAACTAGGTTAAAATCAGTTAAATTGAAAATAATATTAACACAAAATCGTATATTTATAAAATTATATTAGAATTTACTGTGAAAATTTTGTAATTACATAAATACCTACTTAAATTATTAATATAATTACATTTTCTGATGCGGATACGAGGGGAAGGACTGCCCCGTGAAATAGCACCACGATAGTATCCCCCCCCCCAAAAAAAACATTAAATTTATAATGTAACGCGTTCTTTTGCTAAGTTACTTCTAAATAATTAACGTAGTTACTCTTGCGTTACCCAAAAATAATAACGAAGTTAACGAGTAACGCACGTTACGTTACTACCCAACACTGACTATAGACATATAATAAAATATATTATATGTCTATGGTGTATACTGCCCTTCAATCACCCACAACATAGATACTGCGCACCTGCATGCCCATATTGTAATTTGGTAATTACATCAAAACTCAAGACATTCAAAATCAATTTATGTCCGCTGAATAGCTATAAGCCTGACAAAATTTTAAGCAATCCGAAAGTCCGATTTAAAAAATGTAAAGATCAAAGGCATCGTTTTTTTTTTGGGAGGGGGGGAATGCTCTATCTGGTTGTAAAATCAAGCAGCAGCAGCTTGACGGGCCTGTTGTCGTTTAATTATTATTATGTTTTATTAGCGCAAAAACAAGGCTATTTTGTAAGTTACTCATTTGAGCTGGTCAAAACTTTTGCCCCTCTCTGTTGAAAACTGAAATGACGACCCTGTGTATGTTGAGACAGAGAATGCACTGCACCTATATATTATGATTTATTACTTAGTATCACGATTTAAGTTGTACAAGTTACTCAGCGCCGTATAGAAATTGGTCTCCAGAATTATGAGCACAGTTTATCGTCAAAAATCAGATGTTCAGCATAGGAACTAGGAAGAATGACAAATATAGTGCTTCTGTTTAAGCCTCACCTTAATTGATAGCACCTAGTGAACAGTTAATTTTTTGATATGTAAACTTACTCAAAAGTTTTATACTTATGGAACCAATGAACCCCTAAGGCTCCCCCTATTAACGCTTATTGCTTATAAGGTAAGTAATTTTAACAAAAACTTATAAGTTATAAGTATATGACAATAGCAAAATTTGAAAATAATGTTGATAAGAAGCTAAAAAATTCTCCCGTTTAAATAAACCTAAGATCAAGTAAACTACATTTGGGCATTGGTACTTGGCTAAATTAGGTTAACTTATCCGTGGGCCGTATCTCTTCATATTACAATTTTCATTTTCATTCGTATAACTACGAATAGATATACGGCGTTCTAGATAGGTTACTAGTATACCGTAAACTGTAAACGTCAGTTATTAAAATGGATATTTTATTCCATTCAACCGTGTTAAGTACGTGAATAATTATCCTTAGTTGCTATTAAACCAATGGTATTAAAAAATAAAATATTCAAGATTCAACTCTACAAGACATAGTATTACTGTGAGCCCTGCTTAAAACTTAAAAGAATAGGTAGATACTAGATACCACTTCCGATTGGCGATTGTTAAAGGGATTTGATATAGGCAATTTGTATTCAACTTTAAAATGTATCTCAAATTAATTCTCAACTCAATGGGGAATACAAATTAAGTTAACCGACAAGTACAACTGCAGTTGAGGCGTATATGCGAAATACTTGCTTTGTTACCATTAAATAACACTTTTTTGGTCTGTTTTAAAAAAAAAGTAACTACAGGAAAAATAAATGTGATTATTTTGTGGAACAAATAATTCTACCAAATGCCACATCTAGTCCAGAGATACTCATATGTACCCACGCAGGACGTTGCAGTGAAAGTTCTTCTTAGTCCATATTGTTACCTACTAAAAAATAAATCTTCTTTCAATCTAAGTAGTAAAGTCTAATAAGAGTGTCGGGTAATATTGGATGACTGAGCCCACCATTGAAAAACTACTTTAAGAGTAATAATCAATATATCATTGATATTTATAATCAATGGTAATATTCAATAAACGTATTTTTTTATGTAAAACTGGGTCATACCCAAATGGATAAAATAATGAGTGAAAATTTAGTTTTACTTTATTCTCCTGAAAAAAGTTGAACAAAATAAGTTTACACTAGTAATTTATAAGTATCAGATGAAAATAATCTGTGATAGTGAGATGTAATACCTACTCAAAAGTTACTTGGCGAATTATTCAAATTTCATTTTTTGGTAAGTTGATCATTTCCAGAGTTTGGGACTTGGCGTTTGCACATCCATCATAGATGTATTAAGACATAGCAGAGTACTTTACAATTATTTTTCGAAGTACAGACAATTTAAATACAGCTATATTTTGCTTTATTGATTTTTTAACACTACAATCATTATTCATGATCATGGATAAAAATTGATTTTATTGTGCAGGTCAGAAATATATTACACATGACCAGTGATCAAAAACATGTAAGTAGTTCTTTGCGTCTAATAGGTATATTCTTTTTTTATGTTCATGGGCATAAATTATTGTTAGATATTAAATGTCAAACAAATTAAACTTATTTAATTTTTTAAGTGCTTTTTTTTTAGCTTTTGTGGGGCTTATATTAATGTATATTTCAATGTTTTTTAGGATTAAAAGTTCAGAACCCTTAAGTTTAAGAAGATATAAGTACTTAACTGGTTTTAAACCATGCACATCATTGGACTAAACTAAATAAGTCAATTGAATTGGACATAACTAAAGTCACATCTTAGATGTTATCATCCAATATTCATTAGACTTTGGCATTATAAATTATGAAAAATAAAAAAAATACAATAATGAGTAACTAATATCATTCAGACTAGATAGTTGTTACTATTTCTAAAGGAACAATAATAATGATAGGATGACAAAATTATATAGAATTAGTTAAAATAATTGATCTATAATATCCTAAAATTTAGTTATTAGTTATTACAAATAATAATATTAATAAAAATAAAAGTTTGTATAAAAGTTGTCCAAGAGGACCCTACATCTAAAAAAAAAACATGAAATTCGTATGCATAAATTCTTATAATAGATGAACATTGGAACATAAGTTAGTACTATATACATTATCAGTAGCAGCTTGTGAGTAAATATTTTGGGGAGACTTTAATTAGCTTTAATAATAAATTATAAAATGTAATAAATTATGAGGGTCGTACAATGACTATTGATAGCACGGCGTATTATATTGTAGGGAACCGTTTCAATAGTGATTATAATACGCAACTTATTTTCCACGGCTATGACATTAAATATTACAATTAAAACTTTCGGGCGGCAGTTTCACTGAATTGATGACCGTTGTCCAAATTATTAATCAATCCAGATAAAATACTTCTATACATCTTTATTTTGAAATATTTATTATTTACAAGTGGTTTCTTATTAAGGGGAGACCCAGTCTCAGTCTCTCCTGACGAGCTGCCCCTGTACATAATAAAAATTTATAAAATGGCGATGTAACTTTGGATAATAGTATAATAAGTGTTATAATAAGACATGATCATTATGTTAATAAATTTCAGTAGGTATGTGACTGTACATTTAGGTATTTCTTGTTTTTAAAAAATATAACTAGACATATGTATACTTTTTGTTTCATATAAAATAACATTATAATTAAATTTTTATTTACACTAGTCAAGTATGACCCTAAATTGTATTTGAATACAAACATTTAATTAGGTTCATTAATGCTTAAACCATTGGTAAATGCGACTACATTAAATTGTACTTAAACTGAATTTCAAGCTAAAATTGTTTGAAGATTACACCTTAAGAATAAAAAGTAAACACAAATTTATAAAAGACCAAAGCACACTTTTATAAACAAAGTACACTATTTCTTTTTTATTATTACATTTTTAAACACATGATAAAATTTAAAAATTCCTGTAAAGTATTATCTATTTGTTCAAGATAATAACCTAACATAATATTTTATTGTACTAAGTACGGTTTTTAGGATATTTTTAAGATACAAATATTTAAAAGATAGAATATCTTATTTAATTAGATGTTTAAAAAAAAACTTACATTTATAAATCACATTATATTAAATGTTGTTGGTCGATCTACATTTTGCTACCTGAAACATAGATTAATTATTGTTAAACTTACAATTATCCATGATTTGTAATACAAACAGGATTAAAATTTTTAGACCCTGTAGCCACAAAATTGTATTTTTTATTTTAAATAACAGTACTTACTCAATATGTTTAATTTTAGTAACAATTATAATCTTATTGCATACAAATTGTCAAACTAATTTTTATGTTTAGTTCTCGGAGGTCATATAATTAGTATAAGTAAATAATAATTACCAAATAATTAAAGCAATTAGGTAAATTTGTTGAATTTGATTTTTCAACTAATTCTGCAATAGTTAAAAGTAGTGCATAATTTAATGCTTACAAATTAAATATTTATAGGTATATTAAATTAATTATAGCCATAATTACCTATACAATGAACTTAAATTATTGTCTATTCATTAAGATTCATAAAATAACAGCAATAAGCTAACTTCAAATTTACTTTTATTAGAAAAATAATGTATAAATGTGTGTGTATTAAAAAACAATTTATTACTACACATCGTTTAGTATTAAATACAGAAAATGCAAGTCGGGGATTTAAATACATAGTAATAAGAAAATTGTAAATTTGTACGAATAATTTGATGTTTGATTTAACTTTATCCATGAATACATATAATGCAGTTGTACTATTGTCTAATAACATAATAGCTAATAAGTAATCTTTAAAAATTTTTTAAGTTCAAATGATTTTAATATATTGATGACAAACACAATGTAGATAAATATAAATAAATATACACATTATAAGGTAAAATGAACTATATTGTTTACCCTGGCATCAATAATTGATTTATACGTTGGTAACATGTGTGTAGAGCAACTGGCAAATTTGTAATTAGATATCCTCTTGACTCTTACGCACACAACGTGCAACCTTGCGTTTGAATTCTGGATAGTTGTCACGCCAATCTTTAGCTGCATCTACATTAGCTGGACTTTCATCATTTGGATCAGCCAACATTGAAATAACTGATATCAATATAGTCTCAACAGTATGCACTGGTAACCAACGTTCGCTTGCTTTTTCATAACCCCACTTATCATCACCAGGTTCATGAAGTATTGATATACAAACATCACCACCTTTATCAACTAAAAATGAAAAAATATGATTAATTATATAAATTAAAATATATTAATATAAAAATAATCATTTTTTGAATTAGGTCAGAAAACAAATATTTATAAAAGTAATAATTTAAAGTGACAAAATTAATAAAATAATATAAACATAAGAAAAGAGAGACCAACACAAATCGTTCCAAGAACTTTATTCATTTAAATATTTTGTAGGGATGCAATCTTGACAAACAAAGAACATGGAAAAATCATATACGAACCAAAAGACTGACTCTCAACGTCGTATGCACATCCTTAGTCCTCTGATATCGAGAAATTATAATACTAATCTAAAAGTAAAACTTCTAATTTACAAAACCCTTCTGAAACCTATTTGGACTTATGGCATACAGCTCTGAAGGACAGCAAAAAAATCCAAGTATTCCAAAAGCTAGTTCTTCGTTGACTCTCCAATGCACCACTGTACGTTTCAAACTAACATTACATAATGATTTTCACATAAAATCATCAACGAAGAAGCTCAATCTTTTTACATGCGCTTCCACATTGGACTCCTGTCTGACCAGAATCCTCTTATTAAAAACCTCTCCTCTCTAACTCTGCCAGGAAATGCAAGGCGCAAGTTTAACTAATTTAATATATATATATACAATTTCAACTATCAACAATTAAAATATATAGTCAAAACTCTTTATAACGAAACTCTTTACAACGAAAAACTCTATATAACGTAAATATTACATAATAATGGTTGGTTTGCTATATAACCCATTAGACAATTCATTCTCTATAACGTATTAGTCACTCTCAATAACGAAACAATATTTTATGTTTCATAATACAATATACGTGTTATCGTATCTATTACATATATAAACTATAAAAATAATCGGCAATAATGCTGAATAAAAAAGTCCAAACTAAGATGACAGACTATTTTAAATAAGGTATAAATATGTATAGTATAAAAATTAAATTATATTTAATAAGTATGTATAATAATAATAATAATTCAATATAATACGTAAATATATATAAAATAATGTAAAAATAATGATGTGTTTGATATATAATATTACATTGGTACATACCTTTATACATAAATAATTAAAATTTTGTTTTTTTTTAAACCCTTTCTATTACGAAAACTCTCTATAACGAAAGAAATCTCTTGGTCCCTTCAGATTCGTTATAAAGAGTTTTGACTGTATATATATACTATAAATCCTTAAAAGAATCGAGGAACTAAATCATCTAGCCATGTACTATAAAACTAATGTTACTTGAATAGTTGTATCCTTTGATCAAATTATTAACTACACATTTTTTAAAGTTATTAATTTGATCAAAGGATACAACTATTAACATAATATTGATTTTATAGTACATGGCTAGATGATTTAGTTCTTGAATTTAGCATTCAACTCTTAAATGCTTCAAAATCCAGCTATTAATTCTAAACTATTATTTATGAAATTATAATATTTGTAAATTCTGAGTAAGGCTAGAAGGAATTTAATGGTGTAATTATTTTTTCTGTTTGTTAATGTAGAAATGCTTCAGTTTTCAAGTATATACGATTTATTTAACTATCAATGTGGATATCTAATCAAGTACTTATTAAGTATCACCCTACAACCAGGTGACCTTACATCATTAGTTTTGAATCTAAATGTTCATATTTCTCTGTATCTCTAGTATATCAGAAAATCCAGGTTAGTCTAGTATGAAATGTATTTATGAATAAAGTGTAAATACTTCACGGAATATTATAAATTTTACTTCATTATATTTAAAATATCTATCACATTAGAATATTATCTGCTTGTATTGTACATCTAATTTTAAGTGCATATCTATATCTTACAAACATTATTAAGCTATACTTTGTTTTAAAATTTTAAATTTTGTAATTTAAAATTTGAATGAGTTATTTCCCCTAATATTTAATACTTGCATTCAATTCTTACAAAACAAATATATTTTTAAATCAATAAAATGTGCGACATTTATGGATCATTAGAAAATTATCCTATTTTTATTTGATGTGTAGTTATGAAATAATAATTATTAACTTTGTTACTATTAATGTAAATATTTTATTATTATTTGTTTTATAAAAGATCACCATTGATAAAAAATTAAGTGGCACAACGGACAGTCAACCAGTGGCAAGGTGATGCATTTTATACAGCATGGTTATAATAAACCAATAATTTATTATTGATACTAACAAAAGGTCACTTTAAAAGTTTCTCAATAATTAGAATTTTTTGATATTTCCTTTGTAAATCTTAAAATCCTTGTTTGAGCAACTCCCCGGGTCGGATCTAACAGGTCCACCAATTGTGAATCTAAACCATCCAGGGCGTCAGCCAAATGCATACAAAAAATCCATTCAAATCGGTCCAGCCGTTTAGGAGGAGTTAAGTGACATACACATGTACAGTAGAATTATAAGTATAAAGATACATTATATATATAAAGATAAATTATATATATATATATATAAATATATTTTATAACTAAGAAAATAACTTTATTAGGTAGTTTTAGTTTAAATATGTAGATTTGTGCAAATATAATTGCTTCTTTTCAAAAGAGGTAGATACACAACTAAGTTCTCTCTTCTTAATGATTAAAAATACTTACTATTAGGGTGCCAAATTTCAGTAACAAACTTCATTTTTGGTGGCCTTAATGGATACTCTTTTGGAAAATTAACATGAGCCTTGAAAAATCCTCCTTCACTGTAAAAAAAATGGTTATTATAAATATTATAACATATTATTTTTACCTGAATTATTCTATAGTATGTATAATTGATAAGGCCCTTACCAAGGTCAAGATTAAATGGTCTAAAAATCCATTAACTTAAATCTCACGAAAAGACCAAATTATCACATTGAAAAAAATGTTATACTCATAAAGAAAGGGACATGTCCTGAATAATGCTTATAAAAGAGTATAATCTTGTGATTTCCCACAATTGGTCAGAGTAAAAAACATAGTTATAAAATTACATATTTTTGATACAGTATTCTAAATTTAGGTAAAGATTAGACAATATATCTTATCTAAGAAAATGCAATTATTTTAGTCAATTTACCTAGATATCAAAAAACAAATCCTAGACATTAGGTATAAAAAATACTTGGGAATTAGCTAAGTGTACTAACTAGGCCGTATAAAAATGATTGTTCAATAACAACAAATTCAGATTATGAACAAAATAATTTATTTCCAAATAGAGTCCCAAGTAAATTACATAATAATAAGGTAGATGGCTACATTCAATAAGTACTTACTACAAGGTGTCTGGAGGTCCAATAATGAGCACTTCCCATTTGTAAATATCATTATCGTCTATGAGACCAGCAGAGAACCCTTCTACTGGGTTCTTGTGCAATTCTAAAAAAAAAAATAAAATATGATTAATGTACAGTCAACTGACTAATACAACTCCAAAACCCCGGTTGATTCGCCTGTGCCCAGTCATACGTTTAGGCCCGTTTATTTCCTCACCCAGCAGGAAATGAACATCGAGCGGGGTAAGTTTGAAAACGATTAACGGGGAAAAACCGAGACAAAGTAATAATTAGGACACATGGTGGGCCAGACGGAATCACGAAGACACGTGAAAGTATTTTCGGGTGTCCGTCGGAATAAGATGCCTAACACGACGACCGGCCATGGACATCAAAACACCACAAAGTTTCGATGGCGACACCGGAGAACAAAAACGGACGGACCGCTGTGATACTTACCAGTCAGTTGTTTCTTTAATAATAGCGCCGACTGTAGTTCTGACATTAAAATTGATTTCGTCACCCAAAGTGATATAGATTAAAAAAATGTTACACTTTTGCGGGGACGGACGCTGAGTGCTAAGCGTTCAGTAATTGTGATGGATACCCGTTTATCCAGCGAATGGAAAATAAAGGAACACTGAAGAAAGAATAATAATAATAATAATAGAAACTGTATTATGTTATATGTATCAAGCAGCAGCTCGGGCGCACGGCAGTGCGGCTTATTGGAAATAAATTATCGGAACGAGTCGACGGTCGTTGTGCGTCTGCGCCACTGTCGGCGAGACAGTGTGACCACGGGCTACGGAACTAGAGGGATGCGTTTTCTCGACCACCACGCCGTAGCCACGGCCGGTTTGCCCGTCGAAGAAGCCGGGAATCAGCAGTTGCCGCTCGCCGGCCGGCAGGCAAACGAGTACGATTTTGCTATGAGTTAATAATGTTATTATTTATGCTGAGCTCTATTTTAATGTTTATGACCACTTTCACAAAGATCCGTTAGCCGTGATTTCAGAGTTTCGACCACTATTAATCAGAACCAATCATTAAGTCATTGTGTAGTGGGGCCGGTGGCGATATTATATGAATTATCAATCCGCGACTTTATACAACTATAACTTTAAAGCGGAAGACTATCATATATTCATATTATTCATTGTACAAATTATCGGAATCTAGGTAAAGACTAAAAATGTCTAAAATAAAATAAGCAAACAAATATGCAGATTAAATAGATTATTATACACAGTATATCTACATAATATAACTAAAAGTGTATTTACAACATTCATTATGAATTATAATACCTACCTATTTAAAAAAATAAACAATTCTTTCGTTATAGCTCAGATACATGAAAAGTGCAACATTGATTATAATATTTAAAAATAATAAACAATTCTTTACAGTTGAATCATAGTAGAAAATATATCTACAGGATGTATTTTTGACATGGATAACTAATGTGTTATAGGGTGTTCCCATTTTGTCATACCTATTTCGATTTTTTTTTGATTTTGCAAAATTATAGTATGGGCATTCTTGGTTTCGGATATTTTCACCTCTGAAATTTTTGGCTTCGAACGTTTTTGTAGAATACCAATTATTGTCCATCACCATTTGGATACATTACTAAGTATATTTTATGATATATTTATATTGCTATTCATGTATTTAATTTTAAAGCCTTAAAAGTTAAAAGTTTCAAATCGGTACTTAAATTAAAAATATTTTAAAATTACAACAAAATACATTTTTTATTTATTTTTATTTTTATAAGGTATTTACAATCTATTTTTATAGTTAGAAAAATACTCAAATGCGAGGGATAGGATTTAGTACTTACGCAGTTATACGTGTGGATATGTCATATGTGAAGCTTATAGTGTTATAATGTATTTATTTTGAAAACTCTGATAATCATTTAGAAGATCACGACATTCGTTATCGTTATTCTTCGTTTCAATATTTAATTTTGTCCACATTTTACTTTTGTTTTTACTATGTTTTTTTTTTTAGATTTTTTGGTTACAGTATGAACTAGAAATGAGACACCATACATGTATTAAAATGTATACTTCTAATCCTTAGCTATAAAAATTAAACATTTTATAAATTTCAAACTAGGTAGGTAGGTAGGAAAACATAATGATTTGCAGATTTTCGTAATTTTGATGAATTTTATCAAAACTCTGCCTTTAAACATTATTATAAATAGCCCTTATAAATGTATGAAAATGTTAATTATGTATTTTCGATATTTTTTAATTGGTGTACCTATGATTCTATGAATATCTTATGAGTCATAAGATAACCCACAATAATTGTAATTATTTTAATTAATTTTAAAGCTTTTTTACCGAACAAAAATTTTCTTATTGACAGTTTAAAAATAGAAAATGTCAAATTTTCATGTATTGCTTAACTTGGTTTAAAATATTTTGAAAATTTTATTATGTTTAAAAAATTCTAATAATTCTAACAATATATAGATGTAGGTGGAAATTTGTAATAAGGTAATGATGATAGTTGATAGACAGGAAATAAACATACATTATTGTAAAATCAATATACATTCATTGCTTCTCTCAGAATCTTAGATTCATTCATCTTCATTCATCGTAGAAAAACTGTAATGTTTATAGTAAAAAAACCAATGCTGAAACAATAGAGCATGACTATTGACCACCATCGATCTCCTTGCATTGGACGAATACAGATAAACTTAAAGTCAGCACTTAAGCAGCTTTTTTGAGGAAAATGTACCTTGTAATATTTAAATGGGCTATTACATGACTAAATCAAATAGCAAACATAGCAGGCAAATAGCCTATAATGTCTAATGTATATAATTTCGTATACATTGTTACATATAGGCAGTAATGTACAATTTTAACATTATAAAACTATACAAATTTAAATAAATGTAAAAGAAAAGAATCACATTGCTTACTATCCAAAAATAAATTATTTTATAATTCAGTAATTATTATTTCAAAATAAAATAACGAATTGAATACCTATATATAGGTACCAAAATGACTATGCATTTTCATAAATTAACAAATAACTACAATGATAAGAACAATTGAACAAACATTTTTGTAACTTAATGAAAACTGTCACTGGATATTTGGTATAATTTTGAATGATTCTTTTAAAAGAAAAATAAATATTTGGAAATTAGTAATAGTTTATATTATATTTTAATATTATTGTACTTAAAATACAAGGCCCAATGTAAAAATTACATTTTAATATCTACCTAATATATACATCCTTCTGCCTAATAATTAATATTTACATTATTAACATTATTTCAATTTTTAGCAACTTTACATAACAATTATTTTTAAATAATATCTTTATCATGTATAATATTTTGACTTCAACGCTAATGCTAATTGCTTGATGTTTATTATTGCAATATTGGCTATAAATTATAATTATCCACCACATTATGACAATACGAAGGTCGACGAATTGATAATATTTAAAGTTCAAACTTTGAACATGTATGTCAATTCTATAAAATTGGTCAAAGAGTGACTGCAGTGTTTCCATAAAAAAGAGATTAAAGTGTTTCTTTCAAAACTTTGTATTTTTAGTCCATGGATTTTATCTTTTAAATATATTCATGGACTCTTATCAGTAGTTATCATTTTACTTTATCAACAATTTTCAAAATACAATTATTGTTTTTAAAATAATTGTTTTATTTGAAAATTTTATTTTATTTTTTTACGCCTATTATTTAATTTCTTATTTTGTTTTTAACTTAGATCATATAATACATTAAATCTATTCTGTTCTTTTATGTCTCACGTGTGTGTTTTGTATTTTATAAGACTGAATCGTCCAAAAAGCATGTGACATATAACAATTTTCTAAATCATCTAATACATTCAATCTACATTAATAAGGTACTTTTAATAATAATTTTATTACCAACTGTTTAAATATAAAATAAAAATGTTTTTATTTCGTAATAGCATACGCCATTTTGTGTACATTGAAAGTTATTATTATGGCGATCAATGATTTTACAATAGCTGTGGTTTGTTCAAGCAATATGAATCGAAGTATGGAAGCACATGCTTTTTTAAGGTAGATAATGAAAAGTTATTTTATTTTTCTATGAATATTCTATTTATTATTTGCCACTGTCATAACTTGGAAGTATTGTTGTAAAATATTTATCATAACTTTAAATTGAAGTAAAAGCCTTTTTTAACTGTTATTGGATGGTAATTTTTAGAAAAACATTTAATACATTTTCTTTACCAATTAAAAAAAAATTTTTTTTTAAATTTGTTGTAACTGTAAAAGCCTTGTTTTTATATTTAATTTTACGTAGTTGTATGGCTTTACCATTTACATACATTTACATATATTTTTGGTTTTAGGCAATTTAAGTTTTTTTAAATTTATACTTATGAAAAATTGAATACCAAATTTTTGCATCTTATCATTTATAAAAAAAATTTATTTAACTGTCTTTTGTCCTATATTTAAGATCTCATAAGATATGCTCACATATGCTTAAAATACTATTAATATTTACTTTATACGTATTTATCATGGTATGAAGTGTTTTTAATTAATTTTTGTTTATGAATATAGTAAAAAAGGTTTTAATGTTCGATCATTTGGAACTGGAGACAAGGTGAAGTTGCCCGGAACAGCACCGGATAAACCAAATATATATGATTTTGGATGTTCTTATGATGACATTTATAGAGATCTGTACAATAAAGACAAAACATTGTATCCTTTGGAATAAATAAATAATATTTATTTTACTTGTTTGTACTTTTAATTTAATACTAATTTTAAACAATGCTGACATTATTCTTTTTTTGCGTATTATGTATTTTCATTTGATGTTTAGTAATTTTGATTAACAATGATTTAAAATAACTGAATTGATTTTGATTGACAGTACTATTAAGTAATACTAAGAACTGACTGAACAAAAGTTAAACATTATTATCAAATAATCATTTTTAAATAATATTTTATTTATTTTTACTTTTTGAGTTTATACATTGTTCCTATACAATTTATAAATTCATGAACTTTAAAAATAAATTAGGGAAGTTGCTTTGCTGTTTAATAGGTTTTGTTGTTTCGTGTGAACCTTGTGATTTTTTAGCCAACTGTAATCATTGATTATTATGTTAATTGTATTGAAAAAGTCCAACTAATATTATAAACTAGCTATTTATAGTTAAAATACAATTAAGTTTAAGAGTTTGAGTGCAATTTAAAGTTTAAACCATTAACTAGAATTTTTTAGAAATATACTTAATTTATTTTAATAAATTGTATTTTCTTCTGAATATTGATCGTCCAAGAGTTAATTTAAACATTTCTTAACAATTAATACCCATTGTTTTTTAGTTTAACTTTTAAATTTTCATTATTTAATGTGTTATTTATTGTAAAACAATACATAAGACATATTACATGGTTTAAATCAATTTTTTAAAATAATATTATATATAATTTATATATTATATCTACTCTGTTTAAGTTAAGAAACATGGTCAGCGGCCAAACTGTGGGCCGGTGCGTGGTAATACTTTATGGTATGTATACAAATAGTTGACACGGTGGGGATGACAAAAGGGGTATTGTCTTACAGTTGCCCGATGAAAACCGGTCACCGCTGACTATGTTTCTTATCTCGAACAGAGTATATACAATTTTGATACTATTTATTGAAGATATTATTTTTTTGTTACTTTGTTACAAATTCTCAATTGTTTTTGTCATTATTTTCTTAACACAATTTCATATTTAGTTATACGCAAAATGGTTTGTTAAATATGTTGGATAGAAATAGGCGGATTAAACAACATCCAGAAAGATTTCAACAATGCAACGAACAATTTACTGTAGTCATTACGTGTGAAGAGAGAGTATATGATCAAGTACTTGAGTGTAGGTTTGATAAGTGTTAAATTGACAATTTTATCATTATTATAAAAATTAAAATCAAAATCATATTTATATGTTTAGATTTTGAAACTATTCAAAGTTTTGGCAATAAGCCAGTACATGTTATCAACATAAACATTCAAGACAACCATGAAGAAGCAACAATTGGAGCATTTTTAATTTGTGAATTTGTTAATTTGGTAAGATTATTTTATAGATTTAGTTAATCTAAATATCTGTAATGTTAAAGTATCTAATATTAAAAAAATATTAATGCAAATTTGTTTCCATTTTAGTTGTCCAGAAGTGAAGATCTTGACAATGATATTGATCAATTAGTTGTTAAGTATGAAGAAAAATGTCAAAGGTCACTACTCAACTGTGTACTTTTTTATTAAATATTTAAGTAATAAAATAAAATAAAATTGTGAATATAATTTATAATTCTAAGTGGTGGAAATATTTGAATCAATAGTAGTGTAGTATATTATGTCATATTGCGAAAAAAAGACATAAATTGTAATGTATACTATACTTTCTTTTATCGATAAAACGATGACTCGGAGCCCATTGAACTCCTTTAATTAAATTTTTTAAATTTATTAATGTTAATTGATTTTAGTTTTTGAGAGGAGCGTTGAATGTATTGGTCTTACAGGGATGTTTGTAATTTATTTATTTATCTATTTTTGTGTCACAAATCACCTTTTGAAACAGTATAGATGTTTTGATTTTTGACTTTGATGGTGGCTTTTAGAATCAAATTGAACCTAGTTGGTGTATTTATGTTAAAATTATGGAGTGAAAAGCTTTCCAATCCATAAATTATCCTATTTGTATAAATGAGAAAATTTCTAAATTTTTCCTCAAGAAAAACAGACAAATTTTCTGGACAAGAAATTTGTTTTTTCTTACATAATTCAGTTTTCGACTGTTGAATCATCCAACTTGGATATAAACTTGGTAACTACCAACTAGGTTCCTACTTCTTTTTTTTGTGGTTGGTATTAGGAGATTTAATTTAAACTAATATAATTGCCTACTCTCATTAAAAACTTGTAGTTGTATACAATCGAACTTAAAAAAGTTTCTTTTGTTGTACTTTTATAAATTGTAGTAATTTTAAATTATTTGAATCCAGGATGATTTCAGCCCTGGGTTGCGGTGGTGGACATTGAGACTTAATGTGTACTAAAAATATACTGAAAGCTAATTATCATGAATATTGAGTAGGTACTTAATATACTTAAGTAAATAAATTTAACTACAATATAATATTTAGGTAATCATAAAAACAAATTAAAATAAAATAAAGAAGTAATAATAACTTACAAGACTTATTGGCTTTTTAGTTCTTTACACTTTGAAATAAAGCAGACTTTGCCTCAAAAAGAATAAAAATCCTGGCTGCCTGGTCCGCTACATTTTATACCTTTGGCTGGTAATAGTATGGAGGAAAGGCAGATAACGGTGGACAGTCCGTGCTACTGAGGAATAGAAATTATAGCGTTCTATAGGTATAAGAAAATATTTATATAGGCTATTTGGCGTTAAATCCGCGATTTGTACCTATGTAAAAATCGCTAAGAATACATTTGTTGAGAAAATAAAAATCGCGAGTTTTAATAGCAAAATCAAATGAATCTTTTTTCAAATACAATTATTTTTTTCTTAAATTGAACACTTCACGACTGCATACGCTAACATTAAATACAATTATCATTATAGGAAAAACGGTACTTGGACACCTTTGAAATCACACTTGTATTTAATTATGGCACTCCTCATTTATAACTCACGATAGTATTACATAACAGTCGAAACGTTGCGTCGCCGCTTATTAGTAACGTATATTTCGTAGGTAGTACAGTACAATCAGTGTTGAATCCAGACAATGTCTCTGGGGGAGGGGGCTCATTTTTTTTTTCATTGGTGAATGGTGATACATTTTAGTATTATGAATTATACCTATTATTAGGTATAAATGTATAATACAATTCTTACATTGTATCTCACATTTGTATCTAATCTTAGGTTAAAAATACAATGTAAAACTAAATAAATGATCTTAGTTATTAGAGGCTATATTTCTTTCAAATAAAAAAAATAATTAAAATAATACACGTATCTAGCTAGTACCTATAGTAAACTATAAAGATAATAGCTGTATGTTTTCTAGTAGGTCCCTATTTTTGTAGTCTAGATATAGTAAAAAGGCAGGAAAGTGCGTGGGTGGGAACCACTCTGCTGTACTTTAGGGGTCGCGTGGAACACTGTAATTGACGTGTTAAATTTTAATTCAATGATATTGTATCGTTGTATATCTGTATAGGTACGAATATGGTCTGTCAGTATACAGCATATCTACTAAATATATTATTATACTATAAAATATTTATATGATAGGTAACCCTATTTATTTTGTTATTTAAGTAATTTATTTTACTAATAGTACTACAGTATAGTATGGTACCTATATAGGCTGAATTATTTTTTGCCGAAAACATCGCATTTTACTCAAATGTGTATCTAATTTCGTCCAAATTTGTACTAAAAATATTTTATACAAAAATAGTGTTCGTACGTTTTTTTAGGGTTTTTGATTTTTGACAAGCCATGCCTGTCCGATTTTCGATTTATTGAATACATGATATCTACCTAGTACCTACTAAGACCTACTTCTATCACATTTTTTGAGGCAGTTGATGTTTTTTGACTTTTGTGTGTCATGATGTACCCAGTGGTCGAAGTGGCTCAAAATAAGTGGTGGCCGGAGGGATGGATTTCATAATTTATGTTGTGCTCGCATGTATCACTTAAACAGAAGCAAACAATAATCGGAAGTTTGCCATTCCACCGTATCTTCCCCCCACTCTGACCATTAGAATAATATAGAAATAAATTGTTTAGGGTAGGTTATTAAAATATGTTGATACGCAGTACTACATAAATGATTAGGGGGTATTATTAGATTGAAATTATTGGTGATTTACACAATAAGTAAATAAAGAAAAAATCAGTGATTTATAATAATGGAAAAACAGTTTTAAAGGTAATCGAGAAAAGTTTTCGCCATGTTCATTAAGTTTATATCAGTGTATGACATATAATATATAATTCACTCGTTTTGCATTTATATTAATAATGTAAAATCTGCTCAGAACTGTTATTCATGTGTTAAAGAGTTACGACAGACAACTGACAACTATATCGTGCGTACTTACTTACAAATTGAAAATATATCATCACACCTCTAGTAAGCGAGTCGAGTGGAGCCTGTCGAAGCGAAGCGACACTGAACAGTGTTATATTATCTGAGCGAAGCGAGAAATGTATCAACTATTATATTGGGTTGGAAATTTTATTACTAGGTAGGTATATTGTAAACTGCCGTCTTTTCTGTGAACACTTCTTTCCAAACGGATGGAATAGGCACTAGAAAATGTTTTGTGCATCACATTTTTAAAGATAGGAAATCGGAACGGTGGAAAATTTAACCTATTTATTTTCTGATCGAATAAATAAATTAATAAAAGTTAATAATATATTGTAACAATATAGTTTGTTTGTTACAGCTAGGGCAAACGAAAAATACTATTAATAATTAGTAGGTACGGCATGAAAGTGTTACACACCTATGTTGTATAGGGTGTTATATGCATTTAGATTTAACAGTAGCAATAAATTAAATTTGAGAAGAACCCTCGGGAACAATATAAAAGCCCATATTATGCATCTATACGGCTATACTTATAGTAAGAAATTGTGTGAGCATATAGTTTTCGAAAAGCTCTTAGTTGTTTATATTATTAAAGTGATTATATATACCTACAGTAGGTATATAGGTATATTATATTATGTATAAATGTATAATATAAATAAATAATAAATATACATAGCCACACAAATGTTTCTGTTTACGTGGTAATTATGAACGGTTTTCTTTATTAGTTTTAGGTTTCCATTATTACCACAGCCGCGGGAGATTGATTTATTAAAATATAATAATTTTACCTTCAAATTGTTAATCATTATATAGGTACCTACTTGTGTGCAAGCTGCAACGGTGATAATTGATAAATATACCAACATTGAGTAAAATGCAATTGTACCGCATTCGGATGTTCAAACACGTGATTTTTCAAAGGCGTAAGCAGATATATTGTGTCGGTCACGTGTAATGCAAACGCCTCAGTATTAGTGCGATTCCACGTGCTACATGATTAAGGCAATAATTGTATCACAATTAAACCACAGCATACTACGTATTTACATTGAAGATACCTTCGTCAAAACCATTAGACGGGAGTTTGATTTAATAAAGCCATGTTATTATATGAAGCTCACTTAACTCACTTTTGCTCTGAAGGTCTGAACGGATGACCTCTAATTTCATAAAAATCTTGAAAAAACGTAAATCTATAGATTATTGAATGATTTTCAGGTCAAGTTTATGACATGGTTTTTTTTTTACATAAAATCAATAATTAATGTTGTACTCATCTTACATTGTAATCAATTATTCAATGATTTCAAATAAATATAATTATAGCATATTGTTTCGTATACACATTTACGGTTCTTATTTTATTTTTCATGACAACATTATGTTAATTAATAATCAATAATAATTCTAATAATAATAATAACAATAGTAATTTTTTTTCCTTATAACATTCATTATTATTAACACAAATTTATGTTAATTATTCATAAGCCACGGATAACAATAGGTTTGATATAGGTGTAGTCATGATTTCATTCACAATTTTAAAGTATTTATGTATTATTGTTTTACAAGTATAAACGCGTACATAAAAATATTGTCTTAATGCTAAAATCAATTGTTCGATAAATGTACACATCATCTATACATGTATTAAACTTAGGGTTGAGTATAAAAGAAAACATTTCTAGGAACTTAATTGCATAGAAATTATTGACGGTTCTAAAATAAATCCTAAAGAAAATACAAACTTGAATCGAAGAGGATCTTTGAGCTCCAACGAATAGTCTTTTCTCTTTATGTACAATATTTATTTACCAGAAATCGATTATTGAGCTCAGCCGGTTGCTTCGTAGAACATTGTTAGCTCCTTTCCGGATGGCGATTATGATTTATACGCTGTGGAATGTAACTGATTATTATTGTAATTTGTTATAGGTATATTGGCGGAGAAAAGAGTTGAAACAATACACTTACTGTGTTGAGTGTTCGCACAACGGGCCGAAGTGTTGTGGACCACAATGACATAAAAATCTAGAGAGAACCGGAAAGCACGTGCCGCCGTTCAGACACGGCGCGTAACCGCAAGGAGCACCTCTATAGGGCACCACCTCCTGGCTAAGACCCGACGATAGGTTACACGTTTTTTCGTTGAGTATTACCCTCTGGACGATGCCGTTGAAAGGTTTGTTGGCGATCGACTCTTGGTTTAACAGAATGGTGTGACTGAAAAATACACCACAATCAGTTGTTTACCCTACTGAAACCGCTCCCCATACAACGTACGCAATACACCCACGCCAAAATGCAGTGTGGATATATTGTTAAAAACTAAGTTTACGATTGTCAGACTTACGGTACACCACCAATGTACAGCGGCAGTTCCAAGTTCAATTCGACAAGTGGGGAACTGGAGCTGATAGTGGTAACGTTGCCGTTGTTCAGCTGAATGGAAGCCTGGTTGTCGAATCTTTTGATTTTCAGCAAATTCCATTGAGGCAGAAAAACAATCTTCTCATCGGTGCTAGAATTAAACGTTGTTCAACAGTTGTAGTCATAGGCGAAATTTCGGTTTTTAACTTGTAGGGGCTCAACATATTTATACATAATATGTATTTATATCAGGCCCGTGGGGGGATCTGCCCTCCACACCACCCATTCAAGTACCACTGTGATGATATCATATTTTCTCACCTACTTTCCTACATTTAATATATTATAATGCATCTATTAATGAAACTAAAAATATTTGTTTATATATATTTATATATTTATGTATATTTGAAAAAAATAACAACATTTAGGTAAATAGATGTAATATATATTTATTTATTAAGTATATTGTTATAATTGAAACCTTCGGTTAGAAATTACAAATTTATCTAATATTTTTTCGTTGGACAATTCATTTGATAAATCTCGTTCTATATAAATGAATTACAAATTTGTAAATCTATCTTTATTCATAGATGTTCGAAGCCAATTTTTAATCTTTCTCATTGCTGAGAATGATCTCTCACATGTTGCAGAGCTAATTAGAATTGGTAAAGATAATGATAACAGTTTACATAAATTAAGATAAAGCTCTGCATTTTGCACCTTGCACGGGCTTGTTTCATGTTTCCAGATTTAAATTTTAGAAACAATTTTTTTCAAACAACATTTACACTGTATTATGTAGATTAGATAACTAATGAAGGATTTAATACTTCAATTAAAATATACATTTTTGGAGGGGCTAAGCCACTCCAAGTCCCCCCAAATTGCGCCTATGGTTGTAGTAGGTGATTAACCAGTGAAGTTCATAGAGAATCCGAAGAGTGGACGCAATATAACTATCTAGACCTTATCCACCCCCCTTCGAATCCTTATATTCTTATTAATACAATTAAAATTTTTACTAAGAAGAATCTTAGTGGATACATACGTTACCCACTCTTTGAACACTACCAATATTTGTAAAATAAAACAGTATATCTTACGTGATATTCGTCTTTCCGTTGCCCAAATCGTAGGTGAGTCTCACACGGCCGTCCGACAAGTAAACGGAAATGAAATCCCCTTGTCCCGTGTACGATTGACCACTGTACAGCAACAAGCCCGTGTCGGAAGTCGTTCCGAACCACAGTTCTAGACGAGTGGTCCTGCGGAGGTCTTCGGTCAGAGGTATGCTGAGAAAAGAGTTCTTGCCGTTGAATTCCGGTGAAAAGTATTTGGTCAGACCGTACTCGACTGTGAAATCAAACGACCACAGAAATATAGCGATTTTCAATGTAGTGAATTATATTATTCGATAAAAAGAATAAAAAAATGTTTACATTTATCACAGTTGGCACCTGTCAGTCCTGGTAGACAAAAACAGGCGTATCGGCCGCCCGGCAAGGACTCGCAAGTAGATCCGAAGCTGCAGGGCTCTGACGAACAGGCCATGTCATCGTAGCACGAATTGCCTAAACATAGTTATGATAATAATAACGATAAATTAAACGAAATAATATCTTCGGTATTGGATCTAGCGTCGTTTAAATTTTTTTTTATCAATTATTTTCCATGTATTTTTACCTGTACAGGCGCACGTGCCATTTGAACAACTCTTTTGACATTCCGTTACGCCTTCTGAGTTCGTCACCAAATCGCCGTCTTCGAATCCCAACAAGTTTATAGAGTAACGTCCTATTTTCACACTGTGCACGCATCCGATCAATCCCGATTTCACACCAATGTTTTCGAATATCCTGTGGGAAATACAACATTCGATTATTTTTGTGTTTTTTTTGTCGTTCCCCGCGGGCGCCAACGATTCGATCTATGCATAAAATGTATATTACTTTTGGTGCACGATCGGGACGTATCCAATGTACGCATTGTCGTTCAGGTCCAGCGACCTCAGCGACCCCATGGACACGGATCTAACCGGCTCGTGATTTTCGAATTGCAACAGACCGTCTTTTTGATATCGTTTGGCTACGATCTTGTGCCGAGTGCCAATCGTTATCGGGTGTACAGACGTCAAGACCACGGCCCCGTTTCCCAGATTGTATTTAAATTCGACAAACCTGAAGATTAAATTTAAAAATATTACGATCGTCGGGTGGAGTGTTGTATTAGGTACTGTATTTTAGTCACAGAGAAATGTGAAAATTACTTATTGACTATTGCTATCGATATGAAATCTCCAGAGCCGTCAGGTTGCTGTTGGTCGTATAACAGAATTCCGTCGTCCGAAAAGCTTTTAAATTCCATTTCCAAACTAAACCTGTGGTATGCTTTCAATTTTTTTAATTGGACGTACGAATGACCATTAAACGCAGCCGATTTGTGTTCTGAAAATGTATAGGCACGTTGAGAATTCTATATCGTTCAAATATGTTTCGTGTGCTGCGGTTTACCTTTGATTTCCTCCAGATTGGAACAAACGGTGCCACTGTGGGTGGCAGGGCAATGGCACTGGAAACCGCCGGAATCTAGTACCTCGCATTCCCCGCCGTTCTGGCACGGATTTGGGTTACAGAGTGACATTTCCCGATCGGTAGATTCCGATGTCGTTCTCCCGGTCAGGTCTTGGACTTCGGGTATGATATCGACTTCGTAGCCACCAGATGTGTTGTAAGTGAAATTCGGCAGTTCGGAAAATAACAGATGCCGCGTTGACTTCGATATGACTATGTCCTGGGGTTCGGTGAATTTCGGACCTTCCGTACCGGGTATGAGATTTTCGTCTGGGTGACCAACAAAACAAATTATTAATGAGAAAATCAATTCGTCAAAGTACCAACTATGCGGTGCGTTAACTAACCTTTACACGATGTATGCGACTTGACGACTATGTCTTTTTGATAGCGACACGCATACAATTTCAGTTGACACTCGGAACTATACGTTTGTCCATCACTACCACACACCAACTAAATATTGGATTTAGATGAAAATATATATCCTATATTGTAATGCATCCATAATAATATTTACTTACAGTTGTACGTATCGCGTCCTCGGCACATGTTGCCCGACATACACACGACGGTTTGTCGTTGTTCATCTCGCACACACCGCCATAATAACAAACGAGTTGACTACAAGATGTTAAATTTTGCATTGCCATGTCAGCTAGAAATTCAAAAGTTTGTCGATATAGAATAACAGTGCATATAACAGAACAATCGTTTCGTCAATATAAAATAACTCGAATTTCATAATATAGGTACGACCGTGTACAACTTTATAGTATGAGGCATTAAACACATATATAGGTTAGGTTATGTAGTTATAAATGTATATACTTTCTTACCATGCATATGATATGATGAAAATTGCATGTCTTTGTGAATATTGTATGGGTAAATTTTTTATTCGAAATAAAAATAATCTAGTTTTTCAAAATAATATTTTACTTGAACTTTGCATTTAATTAGTAATTTATCAAGTTTAAAATTAGTTTTATATTTGATTACGACTAATAATGGCATACATACGTGAAACACATCCAGCAGGGTTTAAAATTTTAGAACTATCTTCACATTTATTGCACTTTGGCCCTATGGCTCCTGGTTTGCAAACGCAACGTCCGGTCATTTGTTCACAGTCATCTCGAACTGAACCCAGCAAAGAACAACCGCAAGCTGTAATAACGAGTATTAATTAAATATTCCACTATCCAATTTAAAAATTACTTACGCATACACCCTTGATGATTTGATGATATTTTTGGTAATCCCCAATATCCGGGTTCACACCGATCACACTTTTCTCCGCCAACACCTGATTTGCACAAGCATTTTTTATCGACACACTCTTCTGATATCGACCCTAAAATAAACATTGGAATTATTAAGGTTATATTATTTTGCAACTTTTATCATAATTTTTAAACAGCAATGTTCACCCAATTTATTGCAATTGCATGACAAAGGACAATCTAGGTTTTTTGGTCCTTTTGCCGGAGTCTTTTTGTCAGGGCAACAACCGTAAGAAGAGTTTTGACAACTATCCGAAACGATTGTTGTATCTAAATGAACCATTAAACAGTCTACATAATGCATATTTGTGTATTTATATAATATCTACATTGTACTAGGTACGTAAGCTATGATATTGAAAGTATAGTTTTGATATATTACCTCGGTCAGATTTATTACAGCACTTAGCAAACCTAGATGTTTGATGACAATAACTTGCCGATGGACAATCTTGCCTGTCGGGACCGTGGCCGCAGTCCAACTCTTTCCCATTTAAATGGTTCATCAAGGGTTTCTTACCGTTACAAGGTTTAACTTCCATACCTTAAAAACGATGACGTCAACACTGTAGAGCTATACAAACTAATATAGAGTTGTGTCATACCTTGGCACAATTCCATGGGCCTTAATCGGAGTTCTTGTTGCCTTTGACACCCTTCCATTTTCATTAGACATAACGAATTGTAAGTGCGAACGTCTGATGCGCAAACGGGTGAAGTGTCGGTCGAACAGTTAAATATACACGAACACCTAGGAAATCCGTCGGGTCCGACTTCACAGGTGGCATCGTAGTCGCATTTAATATCTTTGCACACGTCGTTGCTGTTACTGTAAACGCTGTTTTCTACCGAACCGTGAGGTTTTAAAATTTTACCTGAAAGTATTTTGTTTTCATAAAATGTTATAGGACACATGCACACACATATTTTCATATATATTATAATTGGTATTACCTATGGATGAAGATTCTTTACAGTCCCCGTAGAACAGAATCGTCAAATTGTGTGTTCCGTTTTTTACGCACGACTGTTGGAGGAGCTCGCATTCGCTGTTGTAGGTGATCAAGTCGGATCCGCAGACGGGTTCTTTTGATTTCGTGTCCACGCATGTTTCGGGACAGTTGCATTTCTGATCGTGACACGACCCTAAAATCATTTAATGCGTGTGATTTTGAGGTAGACAGTTGAAAACCAGTGAATTAATCACCGTACCGCATTCACCCGCGTAGGCAGCGAATATTTTCTTCCTTGTTGCACAACTAGCGTTTTGTAGATGACAAAGGTCTGTGTACGTAATACCGTCGGTACCGCAAACTTTACCGCTTGCCTGGGTACATAAATTAAAGTTCGTCCTAATTAACTGGTGGAGGTTTCAAATGGTTTTAGAAAATAAATTCGAAAACCATTGTTACTTTATATACTGGTTTAATGCTTTTTGGTAGTATATGTAACTACAGGTCTAGTCACTCCACTTTTAACAATCAATTATTCCACAATCTCACCATTTATCAACTAGCTGTTTCTTATCCTCACATATACACGCAAGTGTGATTAATTTATTTTCGAATAAATGTCATTATCCCCTCTATAATATAATATAATATTTGATAAAATGTTATGATATATAAAACATAATTCATGCACAAGAATTTTTTTTCCAGTGACAAAGTTTATTAGACCGGGTGAAGCATAATTGAAATGATTATTTATTATTAGTTTTAGGTTGGTAACTTCTATAATATTATATATATTGCAAAAGGGACAATAATAATTAATATAGAACGCAATAACGAATTCATCTTTGGAACTATTAATTCTATTGGACAGAACCAATAGAACACCTGGGCACGTATGTTTAGAACTTTATAATCTTTTGTATAAAAGGATTTATTTAACTGAAAATAAATGTGATGAAAGTTTTAAACATTACCTCAATAACTATTTTGTTAAATTTAATAATAGTCAATTCTATTATACATTAAAATATATAAATAGGAATTGTAATTTAGATGATAAAATACAGTAACAATGATCTAGGTTTATGAAATAAAAAAGATGCACTTAGTAAATTAACTGTATAAACTTATAGAACAGGTGAAAATTAAAAGTATAGCACGATATCATGGATTGGATAAATCTACATTTTGATTAATCTAACAACCTAACTTGATTTCTATTTTTCCATAGAAATATATAAAACCATTAATAACATAATGTAATATCTGTAATTTATTAGATTAATTTCAGATAAAAATATAATGTAATATAATTTGTAGAACGAGATCGGAAGACAGCATTTTAATGAGATATCAGAGAAAGTCATATACTATCGACATAGTTTCGAAGTGTTAGCACAATCTAAACTAACACTTGGATTGAGAAATGAAATGTTCACATGTTTATTGACAAACATTGATTGAAAACGTATGTGACAGATACGAAATCGGACACAGATGGAAACGAGTGTATTGCAGTTAATTTAGACGTGACCTTTAAGAATTGCAATAACACGAGAAAAGATAATTTGAAGTCATTTTTTTTTCATAAGTGATTGAGCAGTTGATTATGTTTGAAAATATGTTATTGACTGGGAATAAAACAAAGAAAATAGGATATTGGGTTACAGATAAAATAGGTACAATATGTTACGCCGGGGTTAGGAAAAAAAAGCAAGTGAAAAAAAGCAAGTGAAAAAAAACCATATGGAAAAAAAGCAAATTGAAAAAAAAGCGAATAAAAAAAAGCCAAAATTAATTATTATTATTATAGGTATAAATTTTACATAATAACAAAAATTACTACTAAAGTATTAATTTTAAGATTATAACCTATGCTATAGTATACTAGTGAATTATTTTGATCAAACTTATATTTCGGGAATAAATAGACCAATTGGAATTTCACGGCCAGGTAAAAAAACTAAATTTCGAAATATTCACCCAATCTTCCCACCTGCTACGTGGAATGTACACGAATCAACTATTAAAAATTCAGAGCTTACTAATAATCAAACAGAAGGATTTAATCATCGATTTTCTAAACTCGTTAGCTATAATCATCCCTCTATTTGGACACTGATAAAAACAGATTAGAGATAGATTCAGATAGCACTATCATGTTGATGCACTTAATATGTAATACCTAGTACCTACACTTATGACTTATTATAATATTATAATATTATAATATACATAATACATTTAATTAATGAATTATTTTTATTTGATTTTTTTTTAACAAACTATTTGTAATAATTTATACCTATAATAATAATAATAATTGGTTTTCGCTTTTTTTTCAATTTGCTTTTTTTTTCCATATGATTTTTTTTCACTTGCTTTTTTTCACTTACTTTTTTTTCCTTTGCTTTTTATTCACTTGCTTTTTTTTTTCCTAAACTCGTTATGCCACCACACACTTGTCACTCAAATATTAAAATAATCGTAATAAATAATAATCCAGGCAACCAGCTAATCTCGTACTTGGATTAGTGATACACTACCCGTGTTATATTTTTGTTGATAATTATTTAGCATCAAGTATATGATATATGTACAGTAAAATTAGTGTTGTACTGGATAATAAATAAATACATATCTATACATTAAGATGGGCAATATAATATTATATGTACTCGAATTCTTACGTTTGCACATTTGAACGTCGGGCAGACGCACTTTGCCTCCATCCCATCGCTTTCGCAAACCGAGTGAAACTGACAATTCATTTTCGTACAGTCGTCTGAAAAGCATAACTTCGTTAGAATCGAACACCGCCGAGCGGTGGGTGTGTTGTAATACAATAAATTAGTGGGTATCTATATGATATGTGTATTGGTTTAATAATATCATCTTACTGCATGCTCCGCTATGGGACACTTCGATTATTTGCTTCTGCTGACAGCTGTGGTACTTCAACTTGCACTCGTTACTATACGTGTTACCGTCGGTGCCGCAAACGGGCTCGTGGTGTTCAGAACATAAAGGACATTCGCAGGCAGCTTTTCCGTCTCTCACTTTACAAGTGGCCCCAGAGTTACACAAGTACCCGTTGCACGGATTCGCGTCCCCTGTGCAAATAAACGTAAGAAACATCGGTTAGTATGAGAAGGAAATTGAAATTAAATGTTTGTGTGTGTGTGTGAGAGAGAGAGAGAGAGAGTGAAAGGTGAAAAAATCCTTAAAATTGACCTACTATTCACTCACACACAACCCAGTATGATATATTTTATGTTTTCACATCGTACGAAGTAACTCAGTCAGTATTAAAAAAACTACATGCACAAGTTTATACTTTATTTATTTAGTTAAGATTTGGACAGTGTTTAGAATTTGAATGTACAGAACCTGCATCTTTTTTTGGGCGGTCACTACGGACGAGACCTTACAACAACTTTAATAGTCGATTCGTGTAACTATGTTAAAGGATTTCTAAAGTTAGCACATTTTATTTAACATATTTTATTGTTTATTTTTATGACAAAGGTATTTTTTAGAAACACATTTCTCGAATTTGGTGTAATTTAAAATTAGGTGAGAAAAAAAAAATTGTTTTAAATTAAAAATATTCTTAATATAAACTTGTCCTGTTTTTACCTTCTTTCTTATACTTTAAACTTTCGATACCATTGAGCGATTAATAGTAGTAACCACCAAAATCCAAAAATTAGGTTAAATTTATTTGTCTCATAGCCAATGTAGATCATGTTTTATATAAAGAATTCTATTATTTTTATATTTCCAGTTTGTATTTTTTAATAATAGGCTTAATATTTACCTAGGTAACTTTTTAGAGACATTTAATTTTTAATTTTTAAGGACATTTCTTTTAGAACTCCATAGACTATAGGCCATTAAAAATTAAATTTCTGACGGGTTTTTTTTATTAGAAATCTAGGTCACATCTATTAATAATATATTATTATAAAATAGTTTTTATATCTTTCATAACCTTAATAAAAAACATTATAATAGGTACTAAAACCACTATATTATATTACTATAACAATAAAAAATTAACTTCACTGACATAATATGCAATGGTAAATTAACGAACTAACCAACGTTTTTTTTAAATACAAAACAAAAGAATGATACCAACTTTTGGTATATGTAAATATAGACTATAGTTATACTTTCCTACCTTCAAAGTCATACCAATAATTAAACCAAAATCAAAGACAAATAATTAAAATAAGTTAAAGAATATCGCCGTAAAAATTACGGTAAAGTGTCATTGGCTTTTGACAAATCATGTTCGATTATAAATAATTTTACTATATTATTATTTTACTATATATTTTACTATATAGGTATACAGGTATAGCATTTTGTATGATACACTAACTTCCTTTGCCAATCTTTCTGATTTTGAAAAAACTTATATTTATTATGCATAATTACTTTTTTTAAATGGCCACATATTTTCCATGACAATTTCATGGACTATATTATACTCTGTAGCATAAATTATTTTCAAAAATGACGTCGATGTGTAAATAATAAATATAGAATAACGATGAATAATTCCTTTTTTGTTGTTGTTATTACGTAATAAGCGTTGAAAGTTTATATGAGTGGAGTAATTATTAGTGTATCGCAAAGTTTTGTAAATTATCCTTGAAATTTCACTTCTTTTATTTAAACATTGAATGTTTGTGAATAGAAAACTATTGTTCCACTATTAAATAATTTACGTTTAAATGTTCCTAAACAAATTCTGTTTCAGAATGAATACAAATTAATTGATTGTCCTTAGATATATTAAAAATATCTAACATAATATCTCCTCAATAATAAAAAAAAAATATTCAATTTTTTATTGCTAAAATGTATTATTACAGGTGATATATTTCTCCTGGTATTTCAAACTATCGACTTGGATATATTTACGAAAACGACCACTTGCGCATATTCTTACCACAATGTCCGTCGTACGCCACCGTGACGCCGGACCTCTTGCTGCAACCGATCCGTTCCAAGAGGCATTTGGACTCATAAGTATAACCGTCTGTGCCGCAAACTGGTCTTACCGAGGTTTCGCAAAGTGTGGGCTCCGGACAACGGCACTCGGCAATGCCCAGACGATCGATCGCGCAACGTGATCCTTCCCAACACGTGAAGTTCAGACACGGGTTTACGCCTGGAACGGAGGACATCATGTTATTGTTGGTTACGTTATTAGTTTAATTAATGAGAACAATGCACAATAAGTACCCATTTACGTAAAAAATTGTGAAAAACCACCCTTTTTAAGTGTGTCTGGTATGGGGAGACGTGATTTTTCATACCCTCCTCTCGTGGACAGACAATATTGGCCGGGGGGGGGGGAGGTGAGAGTGAAGGGTTTCGAGCATAATACTGTATTATGCAGATATACAAGTGTATTATACACAATGTTAATATGCCGTAGTCAAAGTATTGCGTTACGAAATCGATGCTCACATATTTCGTGACGTAACCGCATACACGATTCTGTATATTATTGTAATAGGTAGGTACCTATAGAGAATCATGTTTTTTAATACACGAACCGAAAATTTAAGTGTGGACTTGAAACACAATGATTTTTTGTCGAACCTTTAAATATAAACTTTTTATTCGAATCGTGAGAAAATCTGGAACAGCCCGCGTCCTTAAAAGTAAAAATGAAAATATAACGTAAGTGTATGAATACAATTCTTACTAACCCTATTAAATCAAAAGTGAGATCAAATCCGGCAAGACCAGAATGTGTTGTAGGTATGGTATTATGGACTATTTTAACTATACTATCACTATAATTATGCAATATTATTGTATATGGACTACAGGCTTATTAAGTATACAACGATTTTATTCACCCTGGTCGCATTGGCCGTGGAAGACAATTCTCAGACCTGGCATCATCCGACACGCCTGCCGCCGTAGAAAGCATTCGTTCGTATAAGTCCGACCGTCGGACCCGCACACCGGAATGAAGTCTTCGCCGCAAAATTCCGAGCACACGCACCTGGCACGCCTCTCGTAGTCCAAACGACATATTTCGGGTTCTTCACACGATACATAGTCACACGGATCTGTAGAAGATGATATCGTAAACGGCGACGATGTGAAAATCCCAAAGAACGGCCAAAAAACGAAAAATAAATTAAAATACCACAATAATCAACATATTAGGATTTAAAATTAAAATATTAGCTACACGCAATAATGTAATAATGTATAAATTATATTCCACAGCAAATACTTTCTAGTCTGTTCTAGTTTATAGGTTTAGTTGTTTAGGGAGCGTCAGGCAGAGTTGTAGTTTATATTCGAGTTGAACCCCTCAGTATACCAGTTGTACCTACCCATAAATTATAATACTGCAATATCATCGTACGCGATTTTATTACCAGCTCATCTCGGCATGGATCACCGATATGTTGTTCAATACCTATTACGATCAATTATACAACCCTTCAAACGATTCGCGGGTTTGTACATACTAGTGTAGTATCGAGACCGTTAAAAACCTTAGTGCTTTTTTCGAGTACAATTAATTATTATTATAATCCTTCGTATTAGTATATAACGCAGTTCAAACGACGTACTGCGATGCATACACTCTTTAGTCTTTTGGGTTTTAACAATCGCAGTAATAATAATTAATAATATCGTCACTCCACGTACCGCACAGCCCTCGGTATTTGACCGCTATGCTCCGGCCCGACGCACACGACGCCTTTCTGACGTGACAAGCGCTCGGATAGTCTCTCCAGTCGTTGCCGCAGACAGGTCCGCCGGCACCGTCTCCGCTGTCGTCACCGTGGCATTTCGTGTCCTCTGAGCACACGCAGCGCGCTTGCGCACTCGCCTTGTCCACGACGCATCGCTGGCCGTGCAGGCACTTCACCAACCGACAAGGGTCCGTCCTTCCCACTGCAACAAAACGAAAAGTTGAATTTCTATATTATTATTGTCACTGTATGCATGCATATATTTATATGTACATATATAGTATGTTTCTGGAAGATTTGACCATTCTACACTGAAATAATGTTAATGTCACATCAGAAACACTTCGAGTCTATAAATTATATACAATATGCTTGCTGCAGCAAGCGCAGTATGAAAATTACACAATTGTTCTATAATGTATAGATATACGCAGTATTAAAATTTAAAACAATCATTTCAAAATCCATTTGAAATTTCGAAAAATGTACGAATGAAGAAAAAATGATATTTATGTACATTACACATAACAAGGAAATTATAAACACAGTATGACACTGTCGAAATGCTCTTCGAGGGACCGCTCTCTACATATATTTTATGAAATTTATAAAAATACTAAAAAATGAAATATAAAGAGAAAAAACTGGGAAACTCGCATCTACTATATATATGAGATTTTAAGCGTTCAAGTGTATCTATACCTGAAAATTATGTGAATTTCGAGAGTAACAAAGTTCAGATAACCTCTTTTCCCTATTTTTACAGACGGCAGTGGATAAGGATCTGTATGAACAGTACTACCCCACTATATAACCTAACTTAGAAGGCCCATAGCCCATAGTTAGCTTTGTTTTTAGCCCCACAAAGTATGAACTAGAACAAACTTGCTATCAGAACACACATCAAAATTAAATATTAAAGGAAACTCTTTGCTCCTAAACGCGAGAGACTACAAAAAAAAAACACATTGATCTTTAATTTCAAATATCTTATATTATTTAGTGTTAAAAAAATAACTTTCACTTATTTTAGTTGATAAATTCGATATAATAATTACCCAAACAGTAAACATTAAATAGATAAGTCATAAGTATATTGAAAATTAAAAAATGTGAACATATACTGCAAGGTAAGTAAAACAGTAGTAGAAAAAACAAAATTGTGTTTTTGGGTATAGTTTGAAAAGATACATTTATTGTAATAAATTGAAAAACTAACTTAGGAAGTTCAATCAAAAACATAACATTTATTTGGTTAGTTTCTATGAAATCATTTTAAATAGTATTAAAACCGTATTTATAATCGTATTAGGTACATTTGAATACGTTTATATTATATAAACATTATGAGAATAATATTTTATTGCATAGTTATGTATAATAATACACGAGTAAAAGTTATTACGTATAATCTTTAAGTAATTTCAACTACAGCTTCTTAAAAACAACAGTAAAAACAACGTAATATTATGATATAAAATATTATACTCATAATGATAACTATCCCGCTGTTCTAAACAACCTATGGGATCGTAGTGGATGTTGGCGGCTTCGTTATTGGTAATTTATCTTGGGATATAATCGTCCACTGCGATGTGGCCAAGGTTCGTATGGGCAAGTTCAAATACAAAAAGTTCATTTGAACGTGGTTTGCTCCCGTAGCTCTTTTCAGTGTGTCACAGTCCAGTGAAGCAATACCTTCTGGATTTATGTTCTTTCCGATATTTATATCCCCTTTATTTTTGTGCATTATAATAACGTCTTTTACATTGGCGGCTTCTCTCATGTTTTCAGTGAGCTGTGTGCGGTGGGCCTTCAGTTCTTCAACCCTATTATCATTATTAAAATCTGCGATCAACGTGCTATAATGGCCATCTTCTCCTTTAGGCACAACGCACGTTTTATTGATTTCGTCGAACATTTCTGAGCCGATTTCAAACAGGTTTCTGTGTACGATACTGGGATCCGGTTTGGCCATCAATGTTTTTCGCATCTCGGCGAGGAGCTTGCGAGTTCGATTGATCGGCAGCCCTGGGTCCTGCGAATGGTCAATGGCCGTCAATTTGTCCATGGACAACTGGACCATGTTAAGCATCCAGTCGTAGAACATTTTCCTCTCGGTTATTTGTGTAGACTTCAAACAAAGGACCTCCAGATTGTAGTGCAGAATGCCCTGCAACGAGACGTGCTTGAGCACCGAACACGACATCGCGGACTTGAACGCCTTCATCACAGACTTGACTTCCGAGCCGGGGAACTTCTTTGCTGTCATCAAGTTCGTAAGTAATGCAAACAGCAACACAATTTTTTCCTCGTTCTCTGAGTTATCTGATTTCGCTGGGTCCACAGGGGCCGCCTGGACCGTAGTTGCCGCCTGGTCCGTGTGGTCCTCCAGATCCAACAGGTCGTTGGGGTCCACCGGTTCGTCCGGGTCCGTGTAGTGGTCGAAGTACAACACTTTCGGCACTTCAATCTTCACCATCTCGTAGAGTATCGGCCACCAGAGGTAATCCACCTCCATCATCTTCTGCAGGAACATCACGTCGTCCCAGTGCGACCTTGTCGCGTCGTCCAACTCGGCCAGGTACCGGAGAGCACGGTCCGGATATTCCACTGCTATCGACATGTCCACCACGAACGCCAGAGACGCGAACGCAAGGTAGTACACGCAGATGGACGACATGACGACAATCGTCGTATACGATATTAGTTATGTCTCGACGCGACCTGCGAAGTCGGACAGCGATACGGCACCGTACGATATATTATATTGTATGTGCACGGTATGTGCGACAACGATAATCGGCCCTAAATTGAATCGCTTCGGGCCCGAGGCGCACAACTGCTGCTGCTGTACAAGTACCATTTGTGTAAACTCGCACGCGCCCGCTGTTGTTGTTTTTCGAGTAAAAAGGAAATCGCGCTCCGCCGTGGCGGCGTTGTGTATATATCATCGTGCAGTTGACATAATATTATTATTATCACGTGACGCACAACTTTGTACGCTTTACGTGCGACACTATAGCTATCTCAATTGATTTTCGTGTTTTTTTTTTAAAAAAAAACGGCATTGTTATATTGTTTGCATAATATCGATAATATGCTATGCCTTTACCTACTTGTAGTCTGAATATTATTATGCGTCACAACGCCACTTCAATTGTTTTCGACTTATCGTTTCGAGCATTCAAGCTGCAGGTTGATATTTAAACATTTCACCAGATTATATTTTTTCTAAACAAAATACTCTATATTCTTAAGATGAATCTTAATGAAATCTTTTGGATTTTTTAAAGTTTGCTAGCTATATGCGAAATACCGTAGTTTTGAAAAAGGCCTTAATAATCTGTTTTGTTTAAAAATTAATGGAAATTTAGTATTGACAAAAAAAAATTATATAGTTCGGTACATAATAGTATAATACTATTACAATGTTATGGTTTCAGCAAGGCAATCAAGAATATTTATAAAGCATAATGATGTTTCCATACATTAAGACCGTACACTACCACCAAATTATATACATACGTATACTAAAAAATAAAACTTTACTGTGTCTTGAATTTATTAATGCTTTATAGTTTCTACTTTCTAGTAGTGGTAATTATAATATAGGTGAAGTTATGTGAAAATCTGTTAGTATACCAACCAAAATTAATTTATAGATTCTGAGCGGTTTTATAACAAATAAGCGTTTTATTTTGAGGGAACCTTTTCGAGACAGTTAAAAAGTTTCAAAAGTATAATATTATCAGAACCTATTTATGTATTGAGATTTGTACCCAAATCGCACTTTAAAGAGGTACTTTTGTAAGCAAGTTGATTTATTATTACTTTTAAATTTAAAGACACCCGACCTTATCCCCAAGTCCAGTATCCTATTTTAACTTTTTAACTTTCCAAACAGTAAAAATAATAGGCATTTTTCAGAAAATCCAGCAATAAAACTTATATTAACACCGATTTACCTTATTAATGTGTTGGATTACTAAAAACAGTGCTTAATGTGTATTATGTTTTTTTGGATACCATACTATGATTGTATAACAATTAACAACTATGATGATATTATCACATTGTTAGATTAATAACATCAATACGTTTTGAATAACATCGGAGCGGTATCATGTAAAAAAAATCATACACTGTAGACACCTCCATTCTTATTTTATAATATGTAGTTTTCTGTAATAATGCGTGGGTACATTATTACAGTTTTTAATATTTAAAATTATTATTATATTAAACATCTGTCATTAAAGTATATTATAAAGATGTATATTAAACATCATTTTAATCATAAAAAACAAAGTACATGTTAAAGTTGACTAATTGTTTTTTTTTATACCAATACTATATTATAATATGCACTATGTACATATTATTATATACGGTATACAAATACATTCAAACATCCTGGTGTCTGAAATTGTTTTGTGGATTTAATTATTCCTACTTTTTTTTTATTTTGCAGTATAAATGTTGTTTGTAACATCATGGGCAAGAAAAATAAAATTACATTTTGGTCTTTCAGTTTTATGTGCAACTGAAATTTGTCGAGAACCGTAATAGAAATTGAGTATAAACTTCACTTGACCCTTCCTTGTAACGCTCCGCAAATCTTAGCCATAAACAGATTAAACATTTTATTGTTCCGTATAGTATAAAAAAAAGGGTCAGTGGTTTCTATAGTTGTTTTTAAAATCAACTGTATAGTTAATGGTAAAATTGAGTTATCCGTTGGAGTGGAAGGGTATACGTATGTATATATATAAAAAATCTTAAATATTGTTTTTCTTGGAGTGTTATTAGATCAAAACTAGACATGATCGTGACTTGTGCTCTCAAGTAGCATGAAACAACTGTTCATTGTAGCACTGAATTTATATGTACTAGAATATTTTTTCTATACATTTCATTTATCTATTATTTTCAAAAAACAATATGTATTATATTATCATAGGTATAATTATTATATTTTCGTAGATTATAAGGTTAAAATTCAATGGGCAAGTACTAGGTGTGTATTTTTAATCATAGAAAATTTAGTTCGATTTCGAATAAATTATTCCAATGGTTTTGACAGTATCCATCCTTGGGTATGGATGAAAAAAATCGTAAAAATCGGTTTTTGTCATTGATTTGAAAAAGTCATCTCTAAATAATCATTATAAATTTTTTATATTTTTTTTTATGCGTCAGTGAAGGAATGTGAGAAGAAGAATTTATAGCCTAGATATTGATATTAATGCATTATTTTATTGTTATGAGGTGTAATTAACTGCAACGTTGATTGGTATCAATATGCCTTGAAAAGACGATACGATGCTGAACAATTACTTTTGATTTAGTATTTCTCTAAAATTCCTTAAAAAAAATTACAAATTGAGTGTTCATACGATTTTTCCAAAATAGTAATTGCTCATTACATAATTAATGGATAATTAATTAATTTCTAAAATTAATTAATTACTGTATTAAATGATAAATGAATAATGAAAAAAATGATTAACTTTCTGATGTTATGAAAAGGAATCTAAAAATAATATCTTATATTACAAAAATACTCGTATTAATGATTTCGGGAAAAAATATCAAAGTTTCTTGTGTGTTAATGGTTTTTTAATATTGTAGTTATTTTTAACGATAAAATCGTTATGCAAAAAATATATATTAATCATAGAACTAAGTTGTATGATAAATGTTTTTCCAATTCATTTGAACAATGAATATGATGTATTCCAATGGATTATGATGTTTATACACTTTAATAATTATAATTATCAGGGCATAAATATATTTAATGTATTTGCCTGTTTAAAAGAAAAAAAAAATCTCTGTTGAAGAAAATAATCTCAATAAAAACTTGTTTTATAATATAAATACTAGTGTATGTACTGAATTATATTCTCGAACGTTCTGAGGATCTAATATAATATTAATAGTTGTAGGTACCTATGTAGGTAATAAGTACATTTTATTCAAAATCACGGAATTGAACCGGAACATTTAAATGATTCATCCAGAAACTTTGCTCGACGATGGTATGAAATACAGTTATTGGTTAAATTGGTTATCACTTGTCATTAGTCATTGTGCACAGCTATTATTATGTATTTATAATAATAATTATAACCATAGGTATTTATTAAATAAATAAATATATAACATAATTGGTTAAAAGGTATAAGACTATAAAAGAACAGTAAGTGAAAACCAAATTATCGTTCAACTAACATTTAAAGAAAATAACTATGAATACTCAAACTTGTATAATACAAATTATTTAACAAATATTTAAATTATTATTACAAGATTTTAACTTGAAACAAAAATCGAAAAAAAATTAAATTATGAATTTGATTTGGTACACATTATTGGTAGGGGATTCCTCGGACTATTTGAAAAGTAATTATTTTTAAAATGAGGTACCTATAGCTAAAGGTGGATTAGTTCTGGAGTTAGAAGAAGGTAATATAATAATAGGTAGGCGACTAATATTATATAATACAGGGTTACAGGACATTTTCATATTTTACTATTTACATTATTTACAATATTGTGATCGAAGAAGAACCACGCATGTCTCTTGGTCAACATGCCATAATAGTATGTTGAAAAATAAAATATTAAAACTTGTTGGTACTATTTGATGATGTTCGCCTTCATATGATACTCTTGCGTGTACCGAGTTAAGTATTTTAAGCCATTTCGTAGCACCGGTAACAATACTATAAACTGGATTTTGGTTAATAAGACCGGGGAAATTAGTCAACAAAGGGGGTCGTCGGTAGGTATCTTTTATAGCTGCTTATCTTGGACCCCGAGTGATCGCAGTTGTAAGATCGAAATACTGCATCAAACAAATATCAACATAATTTTAATTTTGAGGGTTAAACACCAACGTTGCACGTTAAAAAGTAAAAGTAAAAACAATACTTTATCAATCGTCGAAGTTACTTTTAAAGTGGAATTTATTTAAACATGATAATGTAATCGGCTATTACTGGTTTTGGTTATCGAATAATATTCCTTTTTTGAATTCAATACGAAAAAAACCGTTCTTTAATGTATGTATATATTATACTGCAGCAGTCTCGTCATGAACATCGTCGTCAACGTCTGACTTATTATTCAAATAGCATTTCGGCCAAAGTTTTAAAAGATTAGATTTTAATGACCTCGTAGCTAATAATTATATGTATTATATTTTTCCACTGCACACAACTCTTAGTTTCACTCATACTCGCCGTGACACTAATTTGAATAGGTAACGAAAGATCATAAACAAATCAGGGCCTTTCTCAATCGATTTGGTGCTCAATAGTCGTCCAGTTTAAAGTTCAAAAAACGAGGAATGGTTTTATACTTTTCATTTTTTAATATGATTTGGTGCACCGCAAAATGCGTGCATTAAACGTCATCGAGTTCTATTGAAACTTTTACACTTTTGACAGCGTCGATTTCAACGAGTCAGACGACGACTACGACTAAAATCCTCACACGTTTAGTTTAGTTTTTTTTTACCTGTTACCTTCTAACGTCTGTTAATTCGTCGATCGAATAATTTAAGTGTTGATCAAATTTAAAATTTTACCAACAGTAACCATTGCAGTAGTTTCAATATCATTCTACGCCCGCAACTCGTAAAATGTTATATCATTAATTCCACTCCGGCGTTACCCAACTAATCCGTTCATAGGAATAAAATATTTATATTTACTTATGATATTATTAAATCGTAAATATATTCCGTCCGGAAAGAGCCATAAAATGAAGGATATAATATTGTGAATGAAGAGCCATTTCAATTTTGTTACTGCTTTTCACGCTATTTCTACGTCCTATAAATGCGCCTG